GGCCCATCAAGTGCGGCTCGTGCTAAGGAATCGGCCAATTCATTTAATCTTAATCCACAGTGACCCGGAACCCATAGTAATCTCAGGAGTCTCAACTGCGGTGGTACTAATGTTTTGAATGTGCTTAGAATTCGAGAGTTCTCTGAGGCTGTCAGAGCTGCACAAACTGAAAGAGAATCCGTCATTATTATTGCATTGTTTTGATTTGATGGAAGTTTTCGAAGAGCTAAAATAATCGCCAAGAGCTCCGCTTCAAAAACTGGAGTAAAATCTGGCAGTCTCACTGAAAAGAACCAGTCAAGCAAATCAGAGGCTATGCCTACACCTGCCTTTTGATTATTTACGGAAGCATCTGTGGCTATTATATTTTTAGTTTTTGCATGCTCCAAGTAATCTAATAATATGTTATTTAAAAATTTGAGGGATTGTAATTTGGCGTTTTGGGGGAATATATCATCATACTCAATAATAACATGACAATTCGAGTCATTAGTCTCAATTACATTTCTAATGTTCACATTTATACTTTGTAGATTTTTTTGTACAAACATTATCTGAGGTGTGTGAAACCGTGGCCAATGAGCAAGAAAGAAGGCGTCTGGGTTTGCGATAAAAGCATATTGAGATCTTCTTGCCGGTAAGCTATAAAATTTTAAAAATGCTTGTACGGTCAAAATTCGAAATCGACAAAGTAGTGTAGGCAGCGCGCTTCCTGGTACAGTACGTTGATAGCCACAAATCTAGGGAGTCCCAGACACATTCGCAGTGCTTCTCGCTCCAAGAGAACTAGAGGTTTCGTTTTATAAGCAGGGCCACCCGAGAATAATATGCAGCCGAATTCCATGATGAGGCGCATGTACATCTTGTACAACGTTATCAAGGTGTGCCTCCGTAACCCATATTTCCGGTTACTTAGCTTGTGTAGTAAGCCTGAAGCCCGCTGTGCTTTGGTAGTTATATACTCTATGTGTGGACTCCAGTTAAGTTTGTCATTATAAATGATTCCCAAATATTTTATGGAGTCTACTTGCTGGATGGGTTCCTGTTTATATAGAATTGAAATTGAAATTGGTTCTGCAAGCGGAAACGCCATGAGCGCGCTTTTGTTGACATTTAACGATAACGAAATCGACTGCAACCAAATTTCTAACATGTTAATATATCTTTGTAATTTAAGTTGTAATGAGTAAATACCAGAGTCAGCAGCAAAGAGTGCGATGTCATCAGCATAAATGTAGACAGTAACTTCTTGATCTGTTGGAATTGTGCACATTAAAGCATTAAATAATATTGGAGATAAGACTGCTCCTTGGGGAACTCCGCGCGTTTGTTTAAATCTAGATGAGGAACATCCATCCTTGACGCAGTAGAATTCTCTTGATTTTAAGAATTCTGCCACCCACTCAATAAAATATTGTGGGAAGTTCAATCTCTCTAGCGTATTTAACAATATGAAGTGCTCCACACTGTCATACGCCTTGGCTATGTCAAGCGTTACTAAAGCAGCGTATTGCCTTCTTTTACGCGCGAGCTGTATTCGGCTCTCTAAATCAGCATGGGCACACCAAATTGAGAAATCACTACGAAAGCCGATTTGGTTCGGTTTTATTACTAAATTGTCTGCCATCCAGATACTTACTCGGCTATGTAGGACCCTCTCTACTAGTTTGACCATGTTAGATGTTAGAAAGATTGGTCTGATATTATCGACTGTTAATCCTCCACCCGGATTTTTTTAGTATAGGAATCACCTTTGCTATCCTCCAATCTGCGGCACCCATGAGTTTTTTAAGGAGTAGTTAATAACATTGGCGACGTCTCGAGGCGATAAATTGAACAGAATTTTAATCATGGGTACTGTGATTCCATCTGGGCCAGGAGATGCACAGGGTAAATGTTTAATCACGTTGGATACTTCAGTCTGTGTCACTTCTTCAAAGTCAGACTTTGTCGTAGACTTGTGCCAGTTGTTTGGCACTACTGAAGTGAATCTGCTTTCCAGACCTTTACCGATTGCCTCTAAGGTAGTGGTCATTTCTTGTGCCGACAGATTATCACAAGCTACATTAACTGGTGATGGCAAGATTTTCCGAGCTCTCATATATCGGAACAGTGCTTTCATATGTTTAGGCTTCGACAGGTATTCATAATGTCTTCTGTCATAATCTTGTTTAGCCTGAGCTACCGTTCTTTTAAAGCCCGCAGCAATGAATTTATAATCGGCCCAGTTTTGTTGGGATTGATTATGTAAGAGCTGCTTCCAAGCTGCCTGACGTCGTCGGTGCTCTCTTGTACACTCATCATTCCACCAACGGCTATATACTCTTTTTGTGGATTCAACAGTAAATTCGGCTCTTTTGTAGGATCGTTTAATGACTGCGTTTATTTTCAGTGCTTTTTTATCATCACTCTCTTCCGAGTGAAAAGCCAGTGCTGACTTCAGGTCATTCCTAAATTTAGTGTAATTTACAAATACTCTTACATTTGAACAAGATGGAATTATCGGACAAGAAATTTCAAAACTTATCGGTAAGTGGTCACTGTTGGTGCCACAGTCCAGCGCTTTCCAAGAAGAAGTAGTAATGGCTGAACTGACAAAACTTAAATCTAAGGCTGACCTGGAGTGATTACGAATAAATGTGGGGGTTCTGACGTTGAGGCACGTCAGGTCATTGGCCATTGTCCACTCCCACAAGCGTTTCCCACTAAGATCAGTTCTAAAACCCCAACTCGTGTGGTGGGAATTAAAGTCTCCAACTAAAACTTTGTCTTTGCACCACGATTTTGTAGCTAGATCCAAACTTCGTGTGTCTTGAACTCCATCCGGAAAATACATATTAACTAAAGTGAAAGGAGTGCAGTTGCGCAGTGTAATGTCTACTGCCAAAATTTCGCATTCTGGCGACATATATTTGTATGAGCATTTGACTTTCATACTAATTCTATTACTAATAAAGAGAGCTAGACCCCCACCTCTCGATGGACGGTCTAATCGAAAAGATGGAAGTTATTTAAATGGAACAAATTATGTACAGATAGCCATGTCTCTTGTAATGCTATAATATCAGGAGCGAATTTAGAAGTCAAGTATACCAAATCCGTAGATGCAGAATGGATTGATCGGCAATTCCAATGGAGAATCTTAAGCGACCCTATGGTTTCGAAAGAGCTGCTTCCGCTATAGCTTTCTCTAGAATGCTTTCTTTCAAGAAATCCCTCTTTGAAAGGCTCTCCTTTTCTTTCAGATACTTTTTGTTCTTTGTTTGTTTCGGTGAGTTAGTTTTCCTTGACACAGGGGATCTAGATCTCTTCAGGGACCTAGGGTCCAAATCCATGTCATCGGAATCTATTGTATATGCAGCTTTGTCCTCACTTACACTCTGTATATCTACTGCAGAGGGTGCTGTAGACGGAGAATACGATGGTGCGGTTTCAAATTCCTCATTTTGGCTGTGGACGGCTATTGCAGAGGCTCCTGCGGGCTGATAATACGATGGCGCAGTTTCAGATTCACCGTCAGCTATTGGTCGTGAACTCTCAACATGTTGGGATACTAGGCCTGACTCTCCCGCTGTACCAAATATGCGAGTCATCTGGTTAGCCAAAATTTGAGATAGAGAATCGCAAAGGTTAGAAGTCAGTCGTTCCATGGCTTTTTCTAGAGCCTTTTCTATGGCCTCTGCTATATTCAGGGAAATCGACCCATTTATTTCCGAGAGATGTCGTGCTGCAACACTGGCATACCCCTGAGTTCTAGTCTGTATTTCCGCTAGGGCTTCTCGTCGAGAACAGCGCCTACGCCCTATAATTTCAAGAATTCACATTTCTCGAGCCTTTGCAGAACAATCAGGATTATCTGCACAGTGTTGTTCGTTGCAGAGACAACATTTCTCTTCTTTAGCTTTGCAGTAATTTGTTTCGTGGTTGTCACCACAAACTCGGCATCTGAGTTCTGACCTGCATCCTTTAATAGTGTGACCGTATCGCCAGCACTTCGTACACTGGAGTGGTCGCGGTGATAGCGGTTCCACTCTGTATATTAGTGGCCATGCCTTGATTTCGCTTGGGAGATTCGCTCCAGCAAAGGTTACAATTACCGACTCAGTCGGCGTCTTCTGCTTCTCTACTAGTCGTGCACACCTATAAACGGAAATAGCACCAGTCACGGCAAACATCTCTAATACCTCAGACGGGGTCAAGTTAACATCGACACCGCGAACAATACCTTTCACACATGCCAGATGCGGGGGAATAAAGGCGCTCACCGGATTGGTCGCGAAACTCGAGCACTTCAATAGGTCTTGGACACAGAGCTGATCAGATGAAAAACATAGAATACCACCTCTGCCGAACTGGCGGACCTCTGTGATGCTGTGAAAGTGAGACGTCACAGCTCTAAGCTCCGCCTGGATCACTTTCGGATTCTTCATCCGAATGAAGCCGTCATTGCTAGGGACGAGGGCCACAGGAACTGCGCGAATGCCGTTGCGTAGAAACTGATCCACTGGTATTTCCTGTGGCGGAAGTGAAGCAGACCAGGGGCAAGCCCCTGGTCAAGGTGAAGAAAAGTGCATCTAAGTGAACTTTCTAGCGCTAAAAGCGCTTACTTAGCTGTAAAAGCACTATAGGAACACCTATTAAAGACACAGAAACCACAGCCACTACACAAACTTAGCCCAAAACCCCAGAGCAAGCACGACCAGCTACTTGCGTGTTCGAGCGTTCCGCTGTATGCAGACGTTCCGCTGTTTTCTTCTTCACCATTGTTCCAACCTTCTTCTTTTTTTTTTCTCCTAAGCACACTACCCACTACTAGCTTATGTCCCAAGTGTGTCGTGCCAGAAGAAGAAGAAAAAAAGTATGCCACACAAGGAAGCGAGCGCAATACAGCTGACGATTATGGTTGGGGAACAAAAAGACACCCTTCTTACACTTCTCAGAGTGTATATAGGCGAACGCGGAAATCATTAAAATGCGTGCTTAAACACGGTGTGACTCGCCAGTTGCTGAGGCAGACGGTGAACGCGGGAAAGACGAGGTCCTTCATGGACTCCACGCGGATGTTGGTGGTGGTGGGGAACTTGAAGTACATGATGAAGAAGTCCGTGGCCTGGTACGTGAAACCGGCCACGCAAGCCACCGTGATCAGCAGACGGATCAGGAACAGAGGGTCCGTCAGCCTGCGGCATGAACGTCACTGCGACTGAGCCTAAGATCACCCAGGCAGACGGTACAGTTGCATCAGACAAAATTTCTTTTTAAAAGACAACGAGTAAGGTATTCATTGTGCAATGACACTTCGTAAAGCACACTCTTGCGCAAAACGATGCGCAAGCATCGTTCGCAAGGCCTAACTTCTGGCCTTGTTAGTACGGCATATCCCAAGAGTACAGAGCAGTTCATTAAAAGGGCCATTAAAGGATCATTCAAAAGTTTGCGGTTTTCAGCGAAAAAAAGTACAAGTAAAGAGTTTATTGTGCCTATACGTATACGAAAAATGGTCTGTAAAATAAAATATCTCAGCGCGAAACAAGCCGTGCACGTTCTCGGCTGTAAACTTCGTCCACCGCCGGCGAACCCATGTGACGTCACGTGCTGCGTAGAGCGAAACCGTCATCCTCTACCAAGGACTGACCAGTCGTAAATCATTCGATTTCACGGTCAAGCTGAATTAATCTGAAACAGCTCAATTGTGCGCGATGAAGGGCGCGTAACAGGATCGTCCGACAAAATGCAGACGCCACGGAAGGACAAGGAAGTGGCACCTGCTCGTCTGTTCACAACTTCAGGCGCAGCAGGCCTTGAAAGAAGAGCGAAAGTCCCGGAATAGAGGCCCCACGTTGTCTTTAGGGACCTCTGAAGAGGTCTCTTGCTTTTCTGTTGCTAGTAAATGTATTTCAGCACCACGACCTACACACAGCAAGTCGCTTATTACGTCACGGCTCGCGAGTGCACCAGTGTTGCCCGACATTCATACTGCTAAGTTTACCAATGCTCGGCCAAAGGCACTAAAATTTTTCCACCTTGCACGTTAAGGCCCAATTATTAACCAATATAGCACATACTCGGATCGCAAATAGTGTGTCATGGCCGATAAGTTAGCGGTGGTTTCTTGGTCCGCTTTCGCTACAATTTGCACCGATACGTGGGCCATCTGGTGGCAAACTATGGCACTAAATTGTAGGAATCGGCCTGTCGTTGCAATGGTGGAGGCGAGTCGCAACCGCAGCTCATCGCCTTCGCTCAAACCATGGTTATTGAATAAGCTATAGTCACAAGTCTTTCTTTTTGTATTTCGCATCCTTCTATTGAAGCTTAAAAAATATGACACACGTGAGCCTCTTTTTATCGCTAATAATAAAAATGGTGTTACACTCAGTAATTAGTGTAACTAGTGCACTAGTGCTAGTGCTCAGTAATTAGTGCTGACTGAGTGTAACACCATAAAAATGGTGTTACACTCAGTCAGCACTCAGTAATTTTGATAAATATTCATAAATAATAATTATTGGTAGCTATCAGCAATATGCAACTTAATTCGTTCGCCAGCCTCTTACACTGCGTATCATTGCATATTTTAATCATTAACCCAAGTTAGCTGACACCTGGTATATATGTTACGCTGTAGTACACACACACACACACACACGCACACACACACACACGCGCGCGCGCGCGCACGCTTATATAGGGCGTTTTAATTACCACACAGCCCAATTTAAAAAAGAGAGGAATGGAGTTGCGCGAAGCAAAGGAAGTACATATTGTTTCCAGTGTACTGTAGTACCCACTACTATAAGGGAAATAAGTGTATACTTAAGGGCTCGTTCTTCGTGTTTTACACAATATTAATGAGATCTAACAGACAATAATGCCAAGGAAGGTATAGGGGAAGTTATTAGGCCAATTGTAATGTAAGTGAGACGAAAGAAAAGTGGGTGAAAAGATAACTTGCCGTGGGCAGGATCCGGATATATATATATATATATTATATATATATATATAATATATATATATATATATATATATATATATAATATATATATATATATATATATATATATATATATATATATAATATATATATATATATATAAGTTGGTCAATTGATTTTGTACAAATAAGAAAGTTAGCAGAACAACCAAACTATAGTGTCACCTACTTCATGCAATTTTAAACCACATGCATGAAATAGGTCGCTCACGTTAGAGTGCATCGGCGTATTTTCAAACTCTGCCCAGCGCCCCCCGCTTTGCTCAGGTCATTCTGTTTCCGGCCGCGAAGCCTGACAGGAATGCTCAGCGGGAACTGTGCCTCATTGTTCGAGATGGTCCGCGATTACTTTAGATCGTTCTGTTGAGATTGCGCTCAAGACGCGAACACTCGATATTATTCCAGATCTTGCGCGACGACAAGTGATAAGGCTGGAATATTCGACGGCACATGCTATACTGCCGACGGGCTTCGCTGCTTGTCACTTGATTCACGGCCGACGCTCTGTTCCCTTCTATCAGTGCCCGTGAGTTGCTATAATCTGACCTTCATTTTTCCTGGCCACAAGTTCGGCCTCATAGAACAGTTTCATCTTCAACGTACGCTATGCTGCCTTCGTGAACGTCATGACCACGTGACACTCTATGAAGTTCTGTTAAAAGCACTGTTAAAAATACTCACGCTACCTAAATGACATCAAAAAAAAAAAAGGCAGAGCATGCAGGCATGCAATCGGTTCTAGAAACTTGGGAGCAGGCAGCAGCTTCTTGGTATACGGTAGTGTATTTCTATTTTACTACCACTGCTACCAATATATTTACTATACTACTACTATAGTATGCCACTACCGCTAATACTACCACTACTGCCACATAGCATACTGCAAGGTAAGGGTTGACCCACTTAGCCTTGATCCTTGAGCTGTTTGAAGTGTGCTTGCTTATTGTGCTTAGTCCTCGCGTTACTTTCACACCCCGTTGCTGGCTGTATGCCTTGTTCATCATGGGCTTGATGGAGTCCATGGACCTGGAATCTCCTCTGCAGTAAAGAAATAATAATGATAATAAATGACAAATGAAGTAGAGCTCGATTTCTTTCGCACACATATTACAGACCAAATAGGCTGTGTAACGTGACGCATAGTTACATTATTGTGACATGATAGAGTCATTTGTCCGTGGTATAGGTGCTGTCAGACTGATGAGAATGATTATGTATTGTTTGAGGGCGTTATATAGCTTCTTCGCGTTCATGAATAACAACACAGGTTACTACCCTCATACTATAGTGTACTATATTCTAGTACAGTATACTCATACCACACGCCTTTACAAGCGCAACGTACTTAGCAGGCTCGTTTGTTCTGGCTCGCCCCGTGTGTTCAGATTTGGGTGCACGTTAAAGAACCCAGGTGGAAAAAATTTCCGGAGCCCTTCCCTACGGCGTCTCTCATAATCATATGGTGGTTTTGAGACGTTAAACCCCACATATCAATCAATGTTCTGGCTCGCCATAAGCGTACTTACGCCTGGAAGAGCTATCGTTCGAAGCTGCTTGAAAGAAAAAAAAAAAACTCTTAAAGGGCCTTTGAAACATTCATTTGATCGTGATTACATTAATTGTTCATTATGAGAATCATCGTCAGCATCCGTGTTAATTTGACAAGCTCGTCAGCGTTTAGAACACACCTGTATGCGCAAGCACGCCACCACTGATCACTTACAAATGTGCGCGTATTATACTAGAAATACGGGTATTTCTATAAGAACAAGATATGCACTATCGATCTTACTATCTTTTTTTTTTCCTGCTATATAAGCTACAGTACACTAACCTGTTCCATGAGTGGTAAATAGGCCGAACTCCAGGCGACACGGAAGTTCCAAACGTTCCCGGGCTGACAGTCCTGTGGTTTGCAACACGACGGGTGAGACAGGTCGACATATCATTGAACACACATCATACGCACACCCTATTTTTTTTTGAAAAATCATCTCTTACAATGCAACATTCGCGCGTTGACGTTGTCGCGCTTGGCATTTCAAAGCACCATGCGCGTGCGCAGGGCGAGTCGAAAAGTGCATTGCAGTGCCTCCATCCCTCCCCCTGGCCGAGTGTGCAAGATTATCATTCTTCGCAATACATGAATAAATTAAAAATTAAGAGACGACATGCTTCTAACATTGGACTGCACATGATCCCTGGCTTTGCGTTCTCGAAACACTAAAGACCTCCGGCCGTCATTATCGTCAGAAAAGTTGCATGGCCAGAAACCCTGGGCAATAAAGGGACAGGTGTGACTCAGTAGAACCAAGGGTCAAACCCTTTAAGAAGATCAGAAAAAAAGTCTCCCCCCCCCCCCCCGCACGCATGCCTATGGTTCTTCACTTAGGCCTATCTGAAGTCCAAAAACAATATGGCTGCCACCTAGCCTCACGCCTGAGCGTTAACCACATGACAAACGCTTAAAATCATCGCTACAATCTTATCATGTTGAGCCGTTCGCAGGAGGGCGGGACTTGGGCCGTCACCTTCTCATGGTCGGTGGAACATACATTCCTCGCAATCTTGGCCCGAACTAACGGGAGTACGCTGTCGAAGTTGGCTGCAACACGTCCGAAAAAAGCGCGACGCAGCACTTTGCAAAAGAACGAACCCTGTGCCTGCAACTGGAGTGGCCGTAGGAATCGATGAAGCGTGTGAGGGAGGGGCCACATTATACGCGTGTACTCACTTGTCCTGGATGCTCTGGCACGCAACGATGGAACCCGTTTGTCGCCTAAACGCAATCTGCCTGCACGCCATATCACGCAGAAGAAAAAAATCGATGAAACGATCGGTTACATCTCCGTATATTGTAGCTTTTTTTGTTTATTTTATTTTTGTGTGTATCGGCAGCGTGCGTACACGAGGGCGTAGCACTTTTGTACATTGCGTTGCTACTATTAATTTTTAATTGTGGTTGTTTTATTTGCCTAATAAAGTATACGCCAAACTTCTCACTTCTAAAGCAACAATTGGCGTAGCTGGGATATTTATTTCGAGGTGTCCGAAGCCTCCTGTAGGTTTGTGTGCGTTCGTGTTGTTTGATATGGGGGGTTTAACGACCCAAAACCAGCATATGATTATGAGAGATGCCTGCGTTCGTGTTGTGGACGTGACACTACGTGTATATCCAAACATTTCAGGAAGGGAGGTTTGAACACCCGCCACTTCACACCCACCCTTTCCTTTTTATGAGTACCCCATGCGAAACCAAGAATTGCGGTTGCTTAATTATGTATTTTTGACGTTGGTACTTGTAAGTACTTAAACGGCAGTTAAATGAAAGTTCTGGGTTTAGGATTAGCATCAACCCATGCTTTTAAATTACCTTGACAGCCACCGTATAAAAGCTTCCTGTTTTTTTTTTTTGGTTTAATCATAGTGAGGAACACTGTTTTGTGAACTTGTGCAATGTGTCAAGCCATGACATGTTTCCGGCTCGAAAATTTGAATCTGCCGCTGGAGGTGAACAAAGGCACATCCTCTGAGATCTGTGAATAACGCGCTTGCACTCCAGAAGAGATGTCCCTTAGAAAAGTAGTTTACAAAACAGCACCTTTATGACATATCATTGCCGACATCACCTTAAGATCCAACGCAGTTCACATACCATTTCCTCTAACAGCATGAGTCAGCATCGTTCCACAAGGAGGATACATAAAACTTGCTGGAGTGGAAGGGGCGCTGTGCGAGTGAAGCCAGCCGCCGCCATCTTGCCAGTGGCAAAAAGCGTGCTCAGCGCCCTCGCGAGCTGCTGATTTCGTCCGTTCTTGTTTCACCTTGTCGGCTTGTAAAGACAAATGGTTTACAATGGTTGCCTCTTGCGTCATTTACGGATGTGCCAACAGGTTGAAAAAAGGTTGTGACCTCACATTTCACCTGTACGTACACAAAAACGTCTTCGACATAGCCATTCCGCGCTCGTTACTAAAGGGAGCTATAGCTGACGTGATCTAAGCGTGCAAAACATAACAGTCCGGATTTGTTTTACAGGCTTACTAAAAATCCCGTAACGCGGAGCCTCTGGGAGTGGGTCGTTCGCCGTAAGAAGTAGAATGCGAAAGACTGAGATCACTTCGCTCTGTGCACTTCGCGCCAGAGTGCTTTGGCCACCCATAGCCTCCTTTATTTTCTGTGCCCGCGCAGTCAGTCCGCCGGGCCCGTTCGGCCGCCTTCCGCATCCTCCTCTCTTTTTGCGTCTGCTGTCCGCCAGGGGCGCTCGCATCCCAGAATCGAGTCGGCGCATTCAGCCGCGGCGACGCATCTCCAGGAAACCTTTGTTCGTGTGGCATACGTTTGCAACACCAATTATTTACGACCAAAACGGTACGTAGTACTTTCAGCAAGTATAATTGTAACTGTTGCTTCATTGTGTTGCGTGAGCAGATGACACGCGGCATTAACTGAGTGCGTATAAACAAACAATGTCGTTTGTACCCCGCGTTTGCACGGCCGTTGTCAATCATTTTTCGCGCTTCTTTCTGGCAATACTTTTCCGCGCACCTATCTTCGCAGCGTAGTACTTTCAGCAAGTATGATATTTAACTGTTGCTTCATTGTGTTGCGTGAACAGATGACACGCGGCAATGCGTGTAAACAAACAACGTTGTTTGCACCTCGTGTTTGCAGGTCCGGTTTCATGCTTTGCTATCATTTTTCGCGCTTCTTTCTCGTGAGGCTTTTCCGCGCACCTATCAGCGAATTTCGCTAAGTAATCAGGAATGTTAGTTTACGGTTTCTCTCGTTTCTGTCTCGTGCAGCGGCCTACGCACACAAGTCTCCGTGGTTCATTCGGCTGTGATGACCCGCGTCAGGTGCGATGGCGTACTGTTGCGTGCCCGGTTGCAAGTCTTCAAGCAAAAAGAAGGAAGTAGGAATTTCATTCCACGAAATTCCAAGCGACGAGGAGTTGCGGCAAAAGTGGATAAAAGTCATTTCACGAGACAATTGGAAGCCGAACACCACTTCCTGCTACTCAACCGTGTGCAGTCGTCATTTCGCTGCTTCTGATTTTAAGCAAGGATGTAAAACACGGAGGCTTATGAAAGGTGTGGCGCCTAGCGTATTCGAAGAATATCCGCGCTACTTGCAGCCTTCGAACAAAAGCCCTGAGAAGTGACGCGGCGATCAGAAAAAAAATTGTGATTGTGATTGCTGCTTGTGAACAGTGTCAACGAGGGTACTAAAGCTCGTCAGACTGTGTGCGTGTGAGGAACGTTTCGATTGACGCCCTCTTGTTCGTTTCCGCAGGTTGCGAATGAATTAATACGCAATAAACAAGTTTCTCTACCGTTTCCTTGAAGGTATGGTGTTCTGTTCAATGTGCTATCTTGCGTACTTATTCTTTCTCTCTTGCATATGTTCTCTCCTAAATATTTAAGTGGCACACGGGAGTGGTATCACACTTTTGTTTTTTAAGCTTGCCGCGCTTACAAACGCGCAACGAAGGATCCACCCGTCAGTGCCGGCGGTAGCACCGGAGTCAGTGAACAGGCTCTGCCGGTTCTGGGAAGGCAGCGCCGCCTGGTGGTGATTGCGGGAACTCAACCTGACGGTCGGCTTCCTTTGATCCCGGCGGCAAAGCGCAGGCACAGAAAATAAAGGAGGTTATGGGCCACCTCTTTGACATTGAAGGGAAGCATGTGAAATTGGGTTATGAAGTGGCATTGAAGGCACTTCAACGTAAAGAAGGGTTGTGGCTCGGAAACAAACTTACGAAAGTACACGTCCAATAGGAAAAGCAAGAAAATGAAGGTGTGATATGCTGTACAACTGATCGAGTGCCTCAGTTGCCGACGCTTTGGACTTCTGCGAACAAAAGCTAAAGCTGCCGCAATTCAAGGGTGCCAGCACAAGATCTACGTTTATTAGAGCTTTTGATGGCTTGTTTGACATCTTAAACTCCAGGAACCCACTGGCAAGGTCGTACAAAGCGCCCCTTCGGCAGGGAAACAAAGCATTCTGGAAGTCGTTTTTTGTGGAGACTCCAGCGTACATAAACGGGCTGAGAGATCCGGCGGTGACAGAAGGACTGAAAAAAAAAAAACGGATTCATTGGTTTTTGGATACGCATGGCAAGCACGGAAAGAATGTTTGACAGACTTGTCAGCCAGGGTCAGCTGAAATACTTACTGACACACAAACTCAGTCAAGACTATGCCGAAAACTTCTTTGATTCAATACGTGGATGAGGCGGCCATAACAACCCAACAGCTCCGCAGTTTATGGCTGCATACAAGCGTCTATTGATTCAGACGGAAGTCACGTCTTCAAGTTCTGGACACTGCTCCCAAGATGTTCTCTCCGTATTGAATGCAACGACTCCTGCAGCCATGGTACATCCAAGAAGCAATCTCACTGACATGCGCTAGGCCCCAGTCGTGCAGCTCGATGACCACGACAATACGCATCGCATTGACTAGCCCGAAAGCTTTTCTGCTTTTGTCGGTTCTGTGGTGCCATACATAGCAGGCTTCATTGTTCGAAAGGTCGAACTGCAACTACCTGTGAAGAGTGCATAGCAGCTATGCACTCAGATGAGCTGACACCTTTAATTAAATGCAAGAGGCGAGGTAGCCTTTTTTACCGTCGCGAGATGTCATTAGCCCCTGTAAAGAAGTCGAGGACTGAGGCGGCTACAGGCTGAATGTGATTCCATCACAACGGTGAAGTCAAGAGCAAGACACCTCATCCTGATAGTTCTATGAGCTTCCTCCGAGAAAAACTGGTTCCATAAACTGGAGCAGCACGTCCTAGGCTTTGATACGCTTGATAATCAGGTTTACAATTTGTGCAGGCAAATCGCCAAACAATACGTAAAAGTGAGGATACAACACATGACGAAGGAAAAAAAAAAACCGAGAATTGGTCAAAAGTAAGGTGGGGCCACTTTTGACAAGGGCAATAACCTTCAACCACCGGGCACCTGTTTTCGATTATGTGTTTGCTTTAGGCATCGCGGTTTGATGCATATGCACTTTAATTGAGTTGTCTACATGCCACTTGGCTGCGTACAAGTCGCAATAAACATTTACAATGAGAGTTACTTGTTTTCGTTGCTTTATAAACACACGAGTCACTTCACCCGCAGCGCGATGAAGCATTAAATTTGCCGCGCTCGGCTCTTTTCTGCCACTGGCAACATGGCCGCCGCATGCTCGGCGCGGCTTCACTCTCTCCCGTAGCGGCGCATAGGCGGCTTCCACTCCAGCAAGTTTTATGTATCCTCCTTGTCGTCCCAGAATCTACCCGCCCATTGCAACAACTTGCTGAAATTGTGAACGATGATTTGAGAAAACAAACACCCGAAGCAGAAAAAAAAAGATAGATTAACGCGTACAAAGAAATGAGACGCAGAATGCAAAACTGAAAGCGAAATCTAATCCCAAGAAACAAATTCCATCGCGATAAACATCAAGGGTAAAATCCACAGTTCAATGCGCAGCCAACTGCAGTCAACATTGGTCGCTGCAATCGTACTTTGTTGTTGGCGGCTCTTTGCCGCAATGTATATTTCTTTTCGATAAATAGTGCCGCGTGCAAGAAAAATAGCGTAACAGGGGTTTCGTTTGTTACTCAGGGGCATTGAAAAAGCATTCGAACTTATTTAGAAGCTGCTTAGTTCATTATGCCGCAGCCCATTCCTCATCAAATGATGATGTTCCAGGTAAGCACCGCATCCAAACCCCGTCTCCTGCGGTGCGAACCGGCTTTCTGAAGAAAAGCTTTTGTCGAAGTCCCTGTTGTTGAAGCGCGAATTTGCCGCGGCGAGCTTCAAAAACCGCGTGGGTTGGTGTGTAGTACAGCGTTTGCACGACACGAATCCTGGCAACAAACTAAGCGCGTGCATGTACTGACGTTATCGCATTCGGCCGCGTGTAATGTTTCATTGTCGCCTGTGGCGGGCCGGATCGATCTTTTGTTAACTCTTCTTAACTGACTAGTCGACCACGTGCTGCCGCGAAAGTCTTAGAAGCGAGCGACCCGAGGTATCAAGTCGCGCAACGGTCGTCTCTCCGCCGTGGTTGTTGAAAAAAAGAAAAAAAAAAGCATATCGTTCGCAATGCATGCATCTACAGTGCCGCAAAGGAGGAGACGACAGGTCGATTCGCAGGTTTGTAGTAGTTACGCCGCCGCACCGTCTTTGCAATAACGTGTATTTCTCTCGTGTGTGCCTGTTCCCTTCCACATTGGCCCCGGAAAGCAGCAAAGTGCGGTGGAGCCTATGCAAGTGGACGCGCCACCCGAGGAGAACGAAGCGGCCGAGGAGGAAACGTACACCGTCGAAAACCCGAGTTTGGTAAGCACCGTTTGTAGATTTCGCGGCATTCTTTTTTTTTTTTTACGCTTTCTCTCGAGTGTGTTGTTTTCAGATGGGTACGACTGCTCAGCGAACACTTTCGCCCAGGAGCGGTGCCAGGATATTTTTTCGGGGGGGACACACACACACAATTGTGTTCCTTTAGGGGCGCAGAACTTATGCGTTGTGTGTCGACTATGCTTGCAATTTGAAAGGCAAAGGCGGGACAGGAATGTCATTCGTTCGTTCAGTGTTTATTTATTCACTTATTTATACTGTTAGCCAAATGCCAATACAGGGTGGAGTACTGAAATACTCTTCACACATTGTTCAAAGACACAAGCACCACACAGTGAAATGAAGACAGACAATGCATCTGGCAGCTTTAAACAAAACTACACCATACAGACCATACAAATATATTGTAATGCAAACGAAAAGCAACTCTTACCAAAAGTATAACGCACAAAAGTATTCAAGTTTTACGCAGTAGTGACCAACGTTGAGCAGAGAGCAACGAAATCGCAGGCACCACACTTAACGTACACTGTTCCACATACTTTAAAGTTATAATAATCAAAATTGGGAACTTTTTTATCAGTATGTATAGTTATTTGAAGTAATGTCAAGGCATACAAGCTGCCTTTCTCTGGAAAAAAAAAAAGGAAGGTAGTAACGCTTATATACGGTTACCTGGAAGGATAATAGGCCAGTATAATTTCTTCAAGTTTCTCTGCAGAGTGAATTTTATAGTTAGTAAGCCTCTCAAGACCAGTTTAGCATTGATACTGTTGTAGTTCTGCTGGAATTCCTACAAAGAGTTAATTTTATAGTTAATAAGCCTCTCAAAACCAGGTCACCGTGTAATTTATATAATGCACTGTCGGTGTCAACCCAATGCGAAGCCTGAAGCCCCACATCTGCTGAGTGAGTGATAGTGATTTCAACACATTTTGTAATCACTGTTGTATTGTGGTCAACGATAGTCCTCTCTAACATTAAGAAAGTGGGGAGCAAGTTGTTTCAGCATTTCTTTTTGTTAAATGACGTTTGGGTTTAATTCAGTTTTAAAGAGCTTGGCTCTACAACATACATTTCTAGCCTGCCATGCACAATGAGTTTCGTGAAATTAATACCACATTCACTAGAATGTAATGTTTTTTCTCCCAAATTTCGGCTTCCTTACAGGGCCAGTAAATAACCCAGAAGTTAAAAAGTTGTTATCAAAAGAAATATGTACACTTTTGTTTTGTGCACGTTCAGCCACAAAAATTTTGGAAATATGTGCTATATTGAGGAAGTTAGTGGGGTTCGAACGTCGCTTTCAGCCGGTTAGAAATTTTTGTGCGGCCTCGTCATCCTTCTTTCTCATGGGAAGGGAAAGGCGCTGCCTGTCGTCGTGACTGGTTTATACTAATGAACGAGCTGCGGGCTACGTCAAGACACCGATCGGGGACTTTGCGTAACTGTGCGTGAAAGGAGAAGAGGTCAGATGTAGCAAAGGAGCATGGGAATTGTTTTTCAAAATGAAGGCTCTGGCGCTGCCTGCATCGCTGTAATATATGGAAAACGTGATTGCCGTGGTCTACTCCAGGAATTGCTGAGCTTCTTCGGGGGGTGTAAAAAAAGAAGTCGTAGCCTGTAGACCGGCCTTTTAAATCGAATACCGAAATTCAGGTTGTCTTAAAATTACAGTGATGCACATGTACCTTTTATTTTTGTTTTACTTTTTTCTTTATGGACGCAATGAAAACGCCCTCTCGTTACAATCATGGTCTTATTACAATCAAGTGTATGTGGTAACTGCCACTCAACTCCTTCTAGGTTCGGTAACTGTAATTCTGTAATTGAAAATTTTTGGATGCCCTTTCAGGACTTGGAGGCACATGCCAACAGCTACGCGGGCCTGGCCCGCCTTTACCGCTTGCTCTACATTGCTGACCACTGCCCGTCCCTGCGCGTCGAGGTCCTGCGCATGGCCCTGACCCACGTGCAGAGCACGTACAACATTGCCAAGTACCAGGAGATCCACAAGAAGCTGAGCGAGGCTGTAGGGTGAGTTGGGGACTGCTTTAAAATTCACTGTGGGACAAATTGTACTGAGAGAAAAATTCAGCTGGTTCCACTTGGTGGAAATGGTTGGTCAGTGAAGCTGAAAGCACAGGAGTGCATATGCCGGAGAAGCTTGCGGGTGTAGGCCAGTTAGTGATTCATGATTAGCAAAAGTAACTGCAAAAGTACACGGGACCGGACTTCTACTTGTTACAGAATACAAGTCACCAATCACAATTACAGACAAGTCTCAGTATAGCAAGCTTCAGATTTACGAATTTTGTAGATTGATGACATTTCGTAAAATTCCCCTACAATTTGTTTAATGCATAGGTGGTTTTCTGTAAAAGTATTTCACTACTGTGAATTCAGAAATAGCGAATGTTTCAGTATAATGTATCGAATGTTATCCCCTTTTTGTCTCCACAACACTTAAAAATAACAAATAGTTAGAATGTTACCTGCAGCTGTGAAAATATAATCCTCTGCTTCGTACCTGCTCCTACCATTATCATCAGAACGCCCACGTATTTATCTATCTGCCCGCCTTATTCAAATGTGTGATGGGCCTTTCGTCATCGTCGCCGCCTGGTACTTGTTGTTTGCATCAGGTTTCGCCCCATTCCCTTTGTTTTCATCGGGCAGCTTTACTTGCATGCTCGTTAACTCTGCTGCTTTCTAGCCTTTTAGTTGGTGGCTCGAAAGTTCAAGATGAGCTCCACGGAAGCAGCACGAAAGGAATGCTACGACGGTGAAAAATGCAGCGCGAGTGACCTATGGGATAAAGATGCCCATGATTACCCATGCATGCTTTGCTAACGCTCGAACACTATGCACAGCATGTCAACAAAGCTTGCGCGTAAGCTTAGCTGACGACGGATAAGATCTTTACCATTCGTTGTGATAAGGAAACGGTGACGAGAACGAGCACAATGTTGAAACAGTGTGCGCGAACAAATGTGAAATATCAGTATTTAACGCCGGTGCTTTGCAGTGCGCAAAAAGGATGCGCATCTAGACGAGGTGCCCACGTAAGGATAGATTGCGCTCTTGCTCAAATAAACGTGCACTGGTTCCGTAATATGTCGTGTTTTTTTTTTTTTGCCCAATATTAGTTTATTTATTTCAGTATCCTCAGAGCCCGAGGGCAATACAGAGGGGAGTGGTTTACAGTTTGAATGTAACGTACTTAAAAAAAAGGAGAAAACTTGGGGGATTACATAGATACATAAAGGATACCAACAAGAAATAGTGCACAGTAAAATAACAAAAATGAACAGGTGAATAATAAATGCAAAGTTTCACAGTGTCCATTACAAAAAGGAATTGTCACAAACGAAAAAAAAATTCAAGCACTTGCCTATGAACCAAAAAATGCATCAATAAATGCAGCGACATTTGTCAAAAGACAGACATGTAAAAAAAAAAACGAAGACGAAAGGGGCTACTTCAAAATGGAAATACTATAGTCATAAATATAATAGTACCATTATGACGAAAACAGGTTAGTTACAGCAGCCTTAAACTTGCAGGTAAGAGTAATCTTGACGACAGATCGGGGAAGGTGATTCCAACTTGCTGGCGTACGGGGGATGAATGAATTGTAAAAGTGGTTGGTGTGGCATGTTGGAATACCAACCTTATGACGAAAGTCAATGTGGGCAAATACATAAGAAAAAGGGGTTATCAATCTATTCTTAAAAACTGGATTGTCATAATATATATGTAGTAATATATCGCAGAGGCGAGGTATTTTCCTACGCTGTGAAACCAGATGCAATAACGCTGTTTTCATGGAAGTGATGCTGGAGGTGCGATGACAGTTAGAAAGAATGAACTGAGCAGCCCGACTCTGGATGGATTAAACCTGACAAATTAGCGTTTCTTGACTGGGGTCCCACACAGATGCAACCAAAGTGGGGAACAGGCTAATGATTTATAAAGAAGTAATCGTGCAGGACTAGCAGAAAAATAAAAATTACGGCGTATAAAACCTAGCGTGCGATCGTGAATTTATACACAGTACAGGTAGGTGGCGCCCGTGTTTTTATTTACGATGTTCGAGAGTGTGGCGGACGCTAAGAAGGCGCCCTTCGAATGTAGGCCTTGCGAGCGGACAAGGCAGGGCTTCGACCGCCTTGAGAAGCAGATGAATGCGAGGGTGAAGGAACTGGAGGGGTACCTGAGGGAGGAAAGAGAAGTGCGGGAGGCTCTCGAGGCGCAAGTGGCCGAGCTTGACAAGGCGGGTCAGGCGAAGACCGCCCAGTTGGTGCGCACGGTGGCCGAACTGGACGAAGCTCAGGAAAAGCAGGCCCAGCTTGAAAAGCGGGTGGAAGAGCTCGTGACTCCGGCGGCAGGAGACGACGCGAGTGCGCGGGCTCAGAACAACGAGCGGCACGCCGGCGGGAACGCAGACCCACAGGGGGTGACTGATGCTGCGCGCACGAGCGGTGTCCGTCAACGCAGAGTGGACTCGGGTAACAAAGAAAGCCCCGAGGCGGCGCCGGAGAGTGGGGGATCGTCAGCCAGGTCCTTGGCGACCGTGGTCAACCACAGTAGTCCCCAAACACCTGCAAAAGTGCCGGCTAAAGACCAGAGGAGGCGCCAAGTGATTGTTGTCGGCGACTCCAACATGGCCAGGGTGGGAGAGGTGATTAAGGGGAGGGTGGGAGACGACGAAAGCGTGAAGGTGAGCAAGCTTCCCGGAAAAAGAGTAGGGGAAGTGATGCAACAAGCAAAGGAGCAACTTTGGGATAGAATGGAGGACCGCAGTTTAGTAGTGGTAATGGGGGGTGTGAACGATGTGTTACAGGGACGCGGGGGAGGGTTCGCAAAGCAGATTGCGAAGGGGATCACTGAGCTGAGGGCGACCTCGGAGGATGTGCAGATTGCTGTCTGCACGGTGCCGGAGGTGCAGAAACAGGGAGTCCACGTAGAAAGGGCGGTGGTTACGGCAAACAGGGAGCTTTGGACTCTGGGTAAAACGATGAAGTTCGAAGTGGTCAACCTGAACCGAAACCTGGTCCGTGCAGGCCGCAACAGGGCGTTTGTGTCTGACGGCATACACTTCAGTAACCGTCTAGCTGAACATGTAGGGCACTGATTGGCAGCCCGCGCAGTGGCTTTTTTGGGGGGAGGCCAAACGTTCAAGAAGAAGGCGGACTGAGTGGAGGGGGTGGTGAAAGGCAGGAAGGAGGGGGCAATGATGCACGGCGGCGGAAACACAAAGGAAAGAAAAGGAAAATAAACCGGGGGATTAAAATTAGTTATATAAACATGCAAGGCGGCCGCAAGCAGGAAAAATGGATGGAGATACAAACCCAACTCGAGAAAGAAGAAATTGACGTGTACGCCCTGACAGAAACCCACCTGAGAGATATGGAGGAGCCACCAGTGATGGATGATTACGTATGGGTGGGGTGCAACAGGGCAGCGGGAGAAAGGAAGGGTGGAGGCGTGGGCATGTTGTTTAGGCGAGGAGGGAATTGGCAGAGGGAAAATCAGGGCTGTAAGGAGCACTTATGGGTTAGTGGAACGGTGGGGGCAAAAAAGACACGGTTGGGAGTGGCCTATCTGTGGACAGGGAATGACGCCAGAGAACAAAATAAAGAGTGGGTGGACTGCCTCAGGAAGGACATAAAAAAATTTAAAGAATCTGGCGAGGTGATATTAGTAGGAGATTTAAATGCCCACATTGAGGATCTGGATGGATATACAGACTATAACGGTGCAATGGTTATCGATATGTGTGAAGAACAGCAACTGGTAATAGTTAACCGGGAACATAAATGCGACGGGCAGATAACGTGGCAAAGCGGCAGTAGACAGTCTTGCATAGACTACGGCCTGGTCTCAGAACACACGTACGAGCGGTTGAACCAAATGACGATAGATGAAGAAGGAGAAAACAGTCTGGGCAGCGACCACAGGCGTATAATCCTGAAATTTGACAGTGGGGGGGCTAGGAAGAAAACACAGGAGGTTGGGCTCCCGAAAGTAAGCGAAAAGCAGATAGCAGACATCGTCAATAGCATCGAAAGAGAATTAGAAGCACAGCCAACAAAGGTGTGGGAATATGACGAGGTTGTTAGTTGTATACAAAAGGAAATAAACAAAGTAAGGAAAAAAAACCGCTGAAGGAGTAAACGGAAACCACGAAGCTGGTGGGACAAGGAAATTAAACTGGCTATTGAAGAGCGACGACGGGCCTCTAGACTGCACAGAAAAGCAAAGCAAATGGGATATCAGGATGATGAGGTGCAGTTACGGTGGAGCCGGTACCGAGAAAAGAAATTTGAGGTGCAGAAACTAGTACAAGCGAAGATTAAAGCTGCGAGTGAGAAATGGGTATCAGACATACGTAAGAAGGATAAGAGCGCCCCCCGAAAACTCTGGAACCATTTAAAAGCATTGGGAACGACGACTAAAGAGATGCAGACTCAGATACAGGACGGGGACGGCAACGTTCTCCTGGGGGACAGCGCATTAGAATACCTACATGGAGTCATAGGAAATACTTTCGGCCAAGCACACGAGAGGTCGGCTAACTGGACACAGGTGGAAAATAAAAGAGTGGCAGATGAAAAATTTAATATCGAATTTTTGGACTGGAAAAAGGCAGAACACAGTGTTCCCAAAAGTACGGCAACAGGACCGGATGGAATCCCGATAGAGATTATCAACCATTTGGAACCAGCGGGAAAGGTGCACTTGTATGGAGCCATCGAGCGCGCTATAAAATCCAAGAGGATTCCTGCGCACTGGCGCGAAAGTAGAATGAGCTTGATCTACAAAGGTAAGGGAGAAAGGGACAAGGCGAGCTCTTACAGGCTGATTACAGTCACGTCAGTGCTCTATAGATTAGCTATACAAGCCATCAAAGCCGAGTTGTTAAAGTGGGTTGAAAGTAACGGTATTTTAGGGGAACTGCAAAATGGATTTAGGCCGGGTCGACGCTTGGAAGACAATCTTTTCGTCATAACCCAGACCATCGAAATTTCGGCAGCACAGGGCAGACCAACATGGCTACTGTTTCTGGACATAAAGGGTGCCTATGACAACGTGGACAGGGGATTGCTGTGGCATATACTGGAAGAGGAGGGGATTGGGTCGGAATTTGTAGGGCTGCTAAGGGCAATATATGAGGGTAACAAGGCACACATTACATGGGAAGGGCGTACATACACAGAGCCCGTGTACATTCGAAGAGGTTTAAAACAGGGGTGCCCTCTTTCGCCATTGCTGTTCACACTGTACATTAGAGGAATGGAAAGACGACTAGAGGAGAGTGGATTGGGCTTTGATTTGTCACACCGAAGCAATGGAGTGTTAGTGGAGCAACGGATTCCGGGATTGATGTACGCAGACGATATAGTGCTGCTGGCGGATAATGCGGAAGAACTTCAAAAACTGGCTGACATTTGTGGTGATGAGGCAACATACCTAGGCCTACATTTTAACCCACAGAAATCTGGAGCCATGGTGTTCAACGAGCAAGCTCATGTAGCACCAATAAGGATACAACAGGAAGCCATACCATTAGTAAATAAGTACAAATACTTGGGGATCTGGCTTAATGAAGGAAAAGGCTACCTGAATGCTCATGAAGAACACCTCAAACTGAAAGGGAGACGAAATGCAGCAGCAATGAAACATAGAGCACTTTGGGGACACAATAAGTACGAGGTAGTACGAGGCATCTGGAAAGGGGTAATAATGCCGGCGCTCAGGTTCTCTAATGCCGTATTATGCTTAAAGTCAGATATCCTGTCGGGGCTGGAGGTTAACCAAAAGGCAGTCGGCAGGTTAGCTCTGGGAGCTCACAGTAAGACTACAAACGAGGCTGTACAAGGCGATATGGGTTGGGCTTCATTTGAGGCGAGGGAAGCACAAAGTAAAATACGGTTTGAGGAGCGACTTAGACATTTAGATGAGAAGAACTGGGCAGCCAGAGTGCACAGATACCTGTACCGGAAAAGTGTGGACACCAAATGGCGGAAGAGGACGCGAAAGCTGGCGACTAAATATAACTTGACCGCGGCAAATAAGCAAAGGGGGCCAGTTAAAAAGCAAGTGAGGGAAACAGAGACGCTCATGTGGAAAGAGAGGATGGAAAAGAAGGGATCGCTGGGAATCTACAAGGCAAGCAAACAAGAGATCCGGAAAGAGAACTTTTATGACAACAATAAAGGTAGTGCGTTGCTCTTTGAGGCGCGGGCTGGCTGCTTGAGAACTCTAACTTACAGGAGCAAATATTCGTCACAGGATGAGGCATGTGTTGGATGTGGCATAAATAAAGAAACAATCGACCACATAGTCAAGGAATGTCAAAAGATTCAGCCGGATAGAAATGGGGGGAAGGTCACACTTTCTGAGGCGCTGGGCTTCGCGGTTGATGGAAGCATTAACTGGTCAGCAGTAGGTATTACTAAGCAGCGGCTGGAGTATTGGTGGAGGAAAAGCAGAGAAGTCGATAAAATAACATCCCAGCCAAGAGTAGCGGCTGGGCAAAATTAAAAAGACATCCGAGTTGAGGGACAGAATTTAAACTCGAACTCTTAAGGTAGGCTAGATGGCGCATGCCGTCACCCCGATTCAAAGGGGAGGCCTTTAATCATCATCATCATCATCATCACGATTTTTGTAAAAATTTTTTATACTTTCACTACAATAACTTTTCAAAAGAACAAAGGATTTTCAGTGGTCTTTTCTTTCAGATGTGTTGTATCGAAATTTCCGTACTTTTGAGATGTAATTTTTTTGTAAAATTTCGTTGCTGTAAGACAACATGTTTGCTAAAACACAACAAACTACTGCGGCTTGCATGGTAGAGAGAAAGCTGAAGTTGGCATGAAGTCTAGGAGTCTTTTGTACCAAAAGTCATCATTGTGAATTAGTCTGCAGAATCTTGCAGGGCGGCAGACGATACGAGAAGAGAAATTCGTATCTCCTTGTAGCTTTGAGCTACATTCAGGCAGTTGTCACTTTCTCTTTCTCAAAAGTTGACATCATAGTTTTTTTCTTGCTTATTTCTTTATTCATTTTCTCTTATGGTCAGATCACTCGCGTGATGCCTCCTTCGACTACTACTACTACTACTACTACTACTACTACTACTACTACTACTACTACTACTACTACTACTTCTACTACTACTACTACTACTACTACTACTACTACTACTACTACTACTATGACTACTACTACCACGTTTACTATGACATAGGGTACTTGGGCAGCTTTACTGTAAAAAGAAAAAAGATTTCTAAATCAATATATGTGGGATAGTTGAGCATTTTGTGGCTTTTATTTGTTTTTTCTAATACTGGTGGTTAGTTGAATCAATGGGCCAATGACATACTTTCATGTTACTCTCGTTACCATGGATATATCCAATATCACGTAAAACATGTGAGTGTGGCCACTTGGGCTGTCGAACAAACGTTTCCCAACTTTGGCATTTCCTGACGTTAGCTGATAAACTTGGAAAACCTGAAATGCTCCAACACAACCGTTTCTATGTGTTTATATTCACCGTAGCAGACAAACAGTTGAAAACATCTTAGCACCGAAACCGTTCCATAAAATAGTTCCTACTCAAATCTCATTATCACAAAGTTGCATCTTACAAGAAAATAAGGTAGTACATTTGAAATTTTGTTATAAAGGTTATTCCTAACGCTGTATCTATTACAACACTATTTTTAATTTACTTTGTTATAATTAGTATTACATTACATTCGTGTTCACTATATCGAGGTTTGATTCTATATAAATTGCAGGAGCACGCCAAACCTGCCCGACGTCACTGGCGGAAGTGGCAGCTCTGGAGCCGTGCCGCCCCTCGACAACCAGTGGATCGAGACTCGCAGTAAGAAGGCAGCCTTGAAGCTCGAGAAGCTCGACACCGATCTCAAGAACTACAAGAGCAACTCGATCAAGGAGAGCATCAGGTGAAGTGCCGTAGAGTTGTGAATAACCGTCGTAACGGGACATTGCAGACAATGCTCCCGAACTTTTGTTGCACAGCTTTTAATGAGTCACTTTGTTCGTGGGGACAGGTAGTGTAGGGGATGGAAATACTTCTCCAAGCTGCTCCAATAGAGATATGCTGCTTCAAAGTGTCGTGTTAGGACTAACAGGCACCCAGCAGCGCATTGCAGCAGAAAGACATGAGGCCAAAGCAAAGTTTTTGGGTCAGTAGCCCTTTAACATTGGTCATGATACGCGGTACGTTGGAGGATCATTGAACATGGTAATGTGTCCATCAGTAATTCTCTGCTGCAATATGCTGCAATAAAGTTAAACGACAGCTAGTTGTCCACCCAGGAAATCTATACAAACTTGTACGCTACGTTTCGAACCATAGAAACACTCGCTGCGTGGTGCGCATCCGATGGATGGATGAATGGATGAACTTAATTTTGTCCTCGAAACGTGCTTTAGCACGTTGCAGGCCGCTGCCACGTCAGAACAGAAAGACCAAGTTTCTCTGTTGTGTCGCGGGCCCGGTGGACAGGCCCATAGCTGTTGTTCGAGTCCAGAGCTTGCAATAGCACCCTCCCATTTGGAAGGCGTGATGACTTTTCCACAGCGTAATGCGGGGCACTGCCAGAGCATATGTTCCAAAGTAGCTATATCGTGGCACAAGGAACATGTATTGGTTATATTTTGGGATAAATTTTGTTCAATAGTGCGGGATTAGCGTATGCCCCGACCCGAAGAAGCCTGAGGTCTGCTTAGTTTTCTGTTTGTGTACAATATGTTTGAGTACAATTGTACACACGCCGTCTGAAGTGGTATTATGCATTTTTTTGTTAATTTTAAATACTACTGCATAATTTCAAATAATCTGAATTTGTGCGAGAGCAAAGTCAGATGCTACAGTATCTGTTGAATATTCGAAGCTCCTTAATATTCATCCACCTCTACAAATCTGAGATTATTGGGATAGGCCTGCATCTTTCTGTAGACAGATGGCAAAGGTATGTGACAATGGAAAAACGAGCTTGACAAATGTGTTGAGAAAATGTGTGGATAAATTATAAACGCAGCTCATATAAGAAGTGGTTTTCGCATTGAGGGAACAAAAACCTTGACATTTCTGCAGGCGCGGCCACGACGACTTGGGGGACCACTACCTCGACTGCGGGGACCTCAACAATGCACTGAAATGCTTTTCCCGAGCGCGCGACTACTGCACCAGCAGTCGACACGTCGTCAACATGTGCCTCAACGTGATAAAGGTAACATCAGTTGACACATATGTTGCTGGAAGTTGTTTGTTCATACATACTGCAAATGTCCAATGTTAGGGTGTTCTACACGTTTCACTTGCCACATCTGGCTGAAGCAGATTGTGAAAAACGTTGAAATAAATCTTGATTGCTTTTGTCCAAGTGCCCTATTTACTCGCCTAATGAATAGACTTTTTTCCTCAAAAAATGTGAGCAAAGTTAGGAGTGCATTTACAATGGGGGGCAAATGATATGAAGGTTTTTTTGAGATTAGACAAAAAATTGTGGTAATGCAAAAAGAAAAGAATACAAAGTTAGGTCGCTTAGTCTTTCGCAATCGGCATATGCGTACGCTGTTGGGAAACTGCTTCTTTGTTGTACTTCACTCATCTTCATTGAGTTGAAGGCCCGCGCACTCCATCATAGAAGCATTTAACGGCTCTCTTTTCTCGCAATCGTTTAACTGCAACAGTGGTATCTGCTGTGATCGCGAGGGGGATCCAAAAGCGTGCGCTTTGAACCTCGCACGACGACGACGCTGCCACCGTTGAGATTGCACCGAGCTACCACCGAAGCATTCAAAAGAAACTGTTGGTAATAAGATAACGACAAAATGCGGCTGCCGTCTCGTTCACATGAGAAGTTACTGCAGAAAAGGTAGCCTATAACTTGCGTTCCTTGAAGTATGCGTGGATAACAAGCATGAAGAGCAAATTGCAAACGAGGTGAGAAATGGGCATGCTACCATGTTGCGGTTGTCACGATCTTTTCTGGGCGACAAGGGATTTTTCTGGTTTTTCAGAAATCTGCGACACGATGGCGACGAATGGCCCTTCGCGACAGCCATGGTGACAGCAAATCCTGTTGTCGTAACTCGAAAATCACGGGCATGTGGGTGGGCCTTAAAGTTTTGTATTTGCAGGAAGCGACCATTAGTTGACCTGGGCAGTTTCGTGACCTTCGCTCAGTGTGTGCTTATCAGCTGCGATGTCTCTACATTAGCACCGTTTAACGCCGCTGTGGTGCACAAATAATAAAAAAAGACGGGGGATGGGCCGAGTGCAGATGGAAAAAACAACAATGTGGCGCGCAACAGCGGGCGAAGGGGGGGAGGAAGCGAGCTGAGGTGGCCGAAAGTAGTCGGCATAATAATAAAAATGAAAGGTATCCAATGAGCAAGGGGGCGCCAGGTGTCGGTTCGCGGGACTGCATTGGACGAATGCGGGGGGGGAGGGTGGGTGTTTATTATGTGGGAGAAAAAAAAATGCAGATGTTGACTACTGAAGTTCGGGGTGCGCTTATTATGTGAGTGCATTTATTACATCAGTAAATACAGTAATCGTCAAGTTGCTTCAGTAGTGAACTCGTGACCTCACAACTTCATCGATGCAAAAATTTATGTTGAATTGGCGAAGACCAAGCAGAGTTGTGCAAGCTCGTTGCATGCTTAAGCGTTTTTCATTTTCCCTCGTCCCGACAAGTGCGCTAGAAGCTACGTAGAGGTGGATGACTCGGGGAAAAGAAGTTGCCATCAGTCTGAGTCATGACCTTGAAGGCACATAATGGAACGCCATTGCTCTGTTCCTTTAAGGGGAGACGCTACTCGAAAACACTTTTTCTTTAGTTTTCAAGTTAGGGTTTCCAAAATTTAGCCACAGAGATATTTTTTCTTGTAGATTCCAAAACTGTTATCAGATTTTGTGTAGCCTCATTACTTTTAAAGTTATTATACATGCAATAACAAAACAAAGGGATTTTTACTCTCGCTTTTTCGACATCAAAACTTTTGTGTAGATGTTTGTGTAATAGCTTATTATGCTTGTCATGAACTACTGTGTGCATTTAAGAGGTTAAAATTACGAGAAAAAAAAGCTGTTACTACAAAAAATGAACAGATCTGCCAAACTTCTTTGTTTCAGGGTTCCTTGTATCATTTCTTGGTATGTTTTTATTGATAATGGCTATGCATCATAAATCAGAATAGATAACGGCACTCTACACACCTTGAAGAATGTGTGTGCCAAGTTTCATCGCAATAGGACAATTTTAAGGGGATGAAACTATGTGAGTGAAATGTGACCGTGGCCAAAAATTTCAAAATGAGAAAAACGCGTTTGAAAGTTTGGAACATGTTTACTAATTAGGGCGCACTTGCAAACACTCAAAAGTGTGTCTAATGCACAGGCAGTATGTCCAGGAGCTGGCCACGGTGACTAGAATTCACCCGCACTATATGTAACTCCTTCGCGGTCCTTCCGAGCGGAGTCCTGTAGGCGAGCTCTCTTGGCCGATGTGCGGCGGTGAGCCCTCGCCTCAGCAGTCTGTTGGGCATTCATCTTCTGAATGCGCCTCTTGTCGCTGTAGTCCCCCAGGGTGGTCAAGCTTGCTGGTGGTAGAACACCAAGCTCCTCCAGGACCATCTCGAAGCTTGCATGGCCCCGGTTATACCAGAGCACAGCAATGGCTGTGGCAGTCTCCACAGCACTTCGGGAAGCAAACTTTGTTTTAGGGCACAGCAGCCACACCTTGCTGTTGAGAGACTCAGCAGCGTTCTGAGTTTTCCCTTGAAGGCATCGGGCCAGCAGCTTCTCGTCAGAAAGGCGCTTGTATATGGGCAGCAGTGCCCGGCCCTGTGCCTTTGTCAGAAGCGGTGTATGCTGTGGTGCAGGCTCGCCCATTGCTTCAGCACGCTTGTGCTTGCACCACGATTCTTGGCCTGGTGGGCAGAAGTTGTGGCTGCCAGCACCATCAGTGGAGCAAGAATGAAAGTAGGACGCCCATATGGCAGTGTACATGTCCCGTAGGTTGCCTCTATTGCCCGTGATGGCGATCTGATAATATGTCTGCAGCTTTTCAATGGTGGCAGGCTTGAGCTTCTCACCTCTGGGCAGTGGTGTCGGCAATTTGCGTATGCCAGTGCCTAGGCGCTTCGCAACATGATTAGTGCAGTCCTCCTTGCAGATGGCACCTGCACCGTACACCTTGGCATCACAAACTCTGCTATATGCTTTGCTGTCGCCATCACTAAGAAATGTTGCGAAGCGAAGTGGAGTCTCATACAGCAAAGTGCGCTCCCATATCCGTAGTGCTGCTTCAGCTTCCATGCCATGAGCGGAGCTGTCGGTGTTCTTCTCACAGACAGGTCTGTGGTAGGCCTGCCAGATTTCCTCTTCAGAGCCCATGTCGTTGTGTAGACTGCAAGCGTGGCAGTAATTTGACAGCACTTCGAAATCTAAGCACAGGCCGGTGTCCAAGGAGATAGCCGCGCCGACTCCGTTGTGGCTTTTATGGCCCCGTTTCTGCCAAGTTCCATCATACATTACGGCCACGTCACTACTACCAACCACCTGCTTTGTTACGGCTCTTGCCTGGTTCAAATTTTCGGTCACGGCCCTCATAGCAGCATCGTGAACCTTCTTGCTGATTGCCTGGAAGGTTTTGTGGTGCATGGGCTTCGCTAGTCCAACAATCGCACAAAACCGCGAAAGCTGGTCATGTCCGATGCCTATGGCACGCGAGGCTACAACAGCTTTCACATTAGCCGCGAAGCTATCGCGCGAGCTGCCGTTGCCGTAGTGTCCCACCTCCGCGCAGTCGTCAGATGCTGCGGCGGCTTCGCCGGAGGCAACACGCCTCGACGTGTGTGTCGAAGAGAGAACACCAGACGCGCACTCACTGTTCTCACACCGCAACTCGAGACAGGACGACAGTCCTTTGCGCCGTTCTGCCACCTCGCGAACAACAAGTTTGTGTTCACGGCAAGACGGGCACTCCGCTCCGCCCACAAGTGCCGTCATCGCATCGATGTCGCACAGCACTGCTGATGATACGCCATCATGCGCACGCCTTTGGTTCTTTTAAAAAAACTCCAGTTTTTTTTGTGAGGCGCTGACGAAGTTTGCGGCAGCGTCGAGGCCGCCGGCGAAGTCACTGTCGCGATAGTTGCCGACGCTGGGGTTAGGCCTAGACCTCTCCGGCCCGTTCACCTTTGCCGCAGTCTGACGACGCACTTTACGACGTTTTCCCACATACTTGTTTATCGTCCGGTACTTTTTCACCTTGTACACCTGCTTTTTGGCAGGATTCATCGCGTAACTAATTGAATAAATCCTTGCGAAGTTCAGCTTGCGATGCACAGCGGGGCCGAAGGGACAAGCGGGCACTGCTCTAGCCAATGGCGCGCTCGCTACGGCACCACGTGACGCGCGGCGCGATTAAAACCGCACGCAGGGGCGTTCAAAAAAAGATTTTTTATAGTATTTTTTTCTTTCCGGACGAGACTTTTCGAGCCTGTGTTCGAGAGAGCATGGACAACTCTAACCGCCTCAGTGATTACAAATGGCGCACGGTGCCGCTGCCTCGAGATACCGGGGCCGGCAAAACGTCGATTTCGGCAGATTTCAGCGATTTTCTAGGTCTCCGGGGCTTACTTGAGCGCATTTTTCAGTAACTTCTGACACGAATTACCGATTGAAATTTATTTCTGGTAAACATGAATGTTTAAAGAATCTAATGCGACTGAAAACAAAAAAGTGAAAATTTCCGAAAAAAACGCGATTTTTCGACCCGCGTCTCCCCTTAAGATTCCTTTGCCCAAGTATGGCTACAGTGTAATGTTTATCAGTCTATGGAGTGTGGTGCCTGCACGTAACAAGAAGTGCACTTGGACAAACTGCCGCTCTTGGCTGATGTTGGATGTTGGCCGATGGTAGCATGCTGTTGGCCGACCAATAGCATGCTACCCACTAGAGTAAGTGGTGTGGCGACAGTTTCGAAGAGAGTAAGTGCATGCCTCGATTTGAAAGGAGGGGCCTTTGAGAAAATGGCAGCTTTGTGCTCCATCTCTAAACACTTTGCGGCATGCCTTATTTCACCCGAGTCCGAAGGTTCAATCATGACCCCCTTAACATGAAATACAGTGAAATCTGGGTAGAACGAGCCCCACATTCACGAACTTTTCAGGTGAACGAACTTTTAAAAAATCCCACGCCAGCTGCTGATAGTTTCAATGTAAAATTATTTCATTACTACGTGTTCAGAACACCAAACTTTTCAGAATAACGAGCATTAGTTTAGTTCCGTGTCAACGCCTCAGTATAACAAATTCATGTTCTGAAATCCATAGCAACCACCGGAGCCGTACACAAGCGGACGACACAGCGAACGGGCGCCTTGCTTTTCGGAATACGCGCGACGATGCGGAGGAAAAAAAAACAAAAACAAAAAAAAAACGAAAAGGCGACTTTCTTTCTTGTTGAAACGCCGATGCTGCAGGTTTATAAGCTCAGAGCTGAGGGGTGAGGGCCACACGTAAAGGCATGCTCAGCGAGGCAGAGTGGGAGTTGCGAAGCACGTAGCATGGGTGCAGAAAACCTGATACAGCGAGGGAGCAGAGAACGAAACGTGAGGAATTTTCTATCTGGCACATTTTTTTTTTCTTTAGAAGAGGCGATGACAGCCGCGACGCCTCGGGTTTTTCTTTCTTTGTCAGTTCTACATCTGCTTTAGGAGACCTTGTTTGTCAGTCGTGTCCATCTCTTTTCGATGATTACTTATTGCGTCCACAAAGCAAGTCGGCGTTTGTGCTGCGGTGCTAATACAAATGAGTTCATGTCTGCTTGCGACGAAGTGGAAGCAGTTTTCGCTAAGCGAGAATTGGAAGGCAGAAAGCGGGCTGTTGTGGCCAAAGAACTGAATAGCACCTCAAGAATGTGGATGAACTGGCAGCCTTTGCGCTGCAAAGTTCGTGCTGCACGCATAAAAAAAAAAAAAACAGACTTCTTTAAAGTAAACGTGCTTTTTTTGGTGTTCACTTGTGCATTTGTTTTTTTTTTTTCGTGAAAAACAAGTTCAAGGACCCACCGTTGTAAAGGTAAGTCATTTTGGTCGGTGGAAAATAAGTATTTATAGCTAATTTTTGGGCTTTCACTATAACGACCTTTCAAATCTACGAACAACTTCCCGCGGCTTCCTGAAGTTCGTTACACCGAGATTCCACTGTAGCTTAGCTTTTTTTCGCCCTCAAATCTATTTGTGTGGCGGGTAGCTAACCAAGCGTCGTGCTCGTTGTACTCATTTACTGATTTACTAAGCTTTCTATTCTTTCGCAGGTCAGCATCTACTTGCAGAACTGGTCCCACGTGCTCACATACGTCAACAAGGCCGAGGCCACGCCGGAATTCACCGAGGTATGCTTAGACTGTTTGGTCTTGTTCCATTCATGTCCTTGTTGTCTCCCAGCTTGCACGATTTGCATGCTTTCGGGGCGGCATTACCCTGCCTGCCTCCTCCTCCCAAGAGCAGTTGATTGATGTGCAGGTAAACCTGTACGTAACGACGAAATTTGAATTTGGTCCAGAGTGCTGTAGACTCTCATTAAATGGAACCTGAAGAGACCGGGAAAATGTGTTTAACAAAGCACCGGTTTAAAATGTACTTTGTCTTTCAGGGCCATGCCAAGGACACCCACCAGAGTACGGTGACCAAGCTGCGGTGCGCCGCCGGTCTGGCCGAGCTGGCCACCAAGAAGTATAAGTCGGCTGCCAAGAACTTTCTCCAGGCCAGCTTCGACCACTGCGACTTCCCGGATGTGAGTGCAAGCAAGTCGAGGTTTTCGCAGTAGCTTAGATCAGGCGTCTCGGGCTCGTTTCAGTTGGTGGGTTGTAGTGGCGAAAATTCAGCCCCGTGAACAAGGTTGAAGCAGGGGGACAGGGCTGGAAGGGGCAGCTGAACAAAGTGACAACTAAAGTCACCTGGCGCTTTGTGTATAGTTTTCGTTGTCCCTGTTTCGGTGCGTGCTTATTGGTTTCAACACGTCACTTTACTGACTAGCTTGGACCCAGTGCAATTGCAATTTGAACAGCGCAGGCAGTGTTGCCATGTTGCTGGTTCTAGCGTGACATGCATCCAGCGTTACGTCTTCTGAAGAAAAGTAAATTTTGCACGGAAAAGTATGACTGCGTTGCGTTTTGAGGCAGTCAGATCCTCGCATTGGCTAGTGCATCATTATCATTGATTTCACCAACTGAAAAGCCCAATATACTCCGGTGTAATGCCGACGCGGGCACACGTTGGGTGCAGCATTGCTATGCTAACAATACGCGAACACTCTATAGTCTGACGCCAGGCGCAACCAACGCTACCAGCATCCGTCAGCGCAGCCCGGCGGTAACTGGCAGGAAATGCGACATGCTGAATTTAGCGCCGACGTTACCCAGACAGCACCGCATCTGCCTCTCTTCGTGACAGAGGGACGCCGGGCGCGCTCAAACGCGCATGTGTCAAGTCAACGTAGCGCGGCGCTTGCCTGCAAGTATATGGCAAGCTGATCTGCGCCTGGCGCGACATTGCTGCCATGATGTGACGAAAAATGAACGCCGGCGCGTGCGTGTGTTAGAAACGTCGGTGTATATCGGGTCCTTTATGTTTGACTTCAACACATAACTACTCGGTCATAGACAAAACGATACACTCAAACCTCAATTTAACGAACAAGGATATAATAAAATATTGGCTGCATTGTATTTACTCGCATAATCCTCGCACTTTTTTTGGGGGAGGACCGATGCAAAGTTGGGGGGTGCGAGAATTACGGGGAGGAAACTTTCCACGAAAACACACAGAGCGAAAAAGAAAAAGAAGTGGTTGAAAATCGGGATTCTCACACCAGCAACTAACAGCAAGCTTTGAGAAGTACTACTTAAAACTTACCTCAAAAATCAAAGCAGAGGTTCAACACAAGGCAAGATTTATTTGAGACACAAAAAGTGCAAGCAAATAGTCGAGAATTAGAATACCATACGCAAAGCTTGTGGGCTTTGCGGGCGTAGCTGTAGCATTGTCACTCAACAGGAGACCTCAAAAGGTAGGAGTAGGATGTTAGTATTGGGCTGATGGCTATTTAACAAAATCGTTCGCAATTTCCTTCTGAAGAAATAAAGTTTACCTATGCACACGGCAGGCCCAACGCATCTTGGTGGCTTTCAGCTGCCGTCACCAGTAGCGAACACAAAACTCGACGACTCCGAAGGGCCTACCGGCAGCCCTGTTGCCAATGTTTAGTACATGATCAATCACTTTCAACTTGAAAGCAGCCGTGTAGCTTCAGTATCGCCCCATAACGTGACAAGAATGCCGACACAACATACAAAACACGCCGCAACGCGCACTTGCCGCTTTGGCTTAGCTTGGATTGGATCGAATCTCCGTGCGAAAATAGTACGCTTGATGCTTAAGAGATGACGCACGCTATGATCATCATCAATGTCTGGGACGAGCAGATGACATTATTGCGGCAATTTTTGGGGGTGCGATAAACACTCGAGGGGAAAAAAATCGTATTTTTGTTCGGCGATGTGGGGGGGGTGCGAGAATTATGCGAGTGCGAGGATTACGCGAGTAAATGCGGTACTAAAGTAAATGAAAAATACTCTTTAAAGGATACAGTGTTAAAAATTACCTTTATAACAAACATCCTCATATAACAAACTTTTTTCTTATGAGATGCAACTTTGTTATAATTAGGTTTAAGTGTACTAGTGATCGACAGACATGCTATTGGTGAATGTGCTCTTACTGGGAATAATGGAACTAAGCCTGAAAATTACAAGTGCCAGGAAAATACTACAAGCAACTCTGTGAAAAAAAGGAAGCCAAAGTCTGCTCATTAGTAAGTGAAACTGGCAATTCTTGTGAGAAACTCCGGGGGTCATAATTAGTTTAGAGTTTATGAACGAAAAAAACTGTGTTCTCTGCGGTGATCTGCATTCTAGTGTTTAGCGGTAGCGATATGAAGTGCTGAAAGTTAGGGCTAAGTAATGTGCATAGTTTCATTGCCATCATTTTCCATTCGTGCTTTATGTATAGATGAAATCTCACACTTAGATCACAGCCAGCATTGTCTTTCACAGCCATTATCACAGCCAGATAACAAGCAACACGATGGGCAATCGGGCCGACTGATTCTTAAGCTGAAAGTATTTATGTCGCATTGCAATCTATAAGCGCTGTTCGTGTTTGTGGGTGCTCTTGTTTTCCACGAGAAGTTGCAAGTCGCCGCACGAGAAACCGAAATTCCTTGTGAGCACAAGTCATTTTCGCTCTTTTGTTTTCGTCCTCAGATGCTGTCGCCGAACAATGTGGCCATGTACGGTGGACTCTGTGCTCTGGCGTCGTTCGATCGCCAGGAACTCTTGCGCAACGTCATCTCTAGCAGGTACGAAGAAAATTCCTCTCCCAAATTTTCCGCTGCTTCGATGGCCAAGTGTTTCCCGGGTGAGCCGATCGTAATGTGCTTTCTGTAACATCGTTTTATTGCTCCTTACACATACCAAAAATAAAGGATAATCCGAACAATTGCCGAGGGTTTCTTCGTGTAAGTTCTATATACAGCTGAACCCACTCATAACCATCTATCAGTTATAACGACCATATTTCGGTGCACTTAAAATTTTCCTATGCTACCCATAGAAATTGTGTCCACATATAGCAAACATCTTTCAAAGCTTCCTGCTGTTACAATGAACACTTCTGACATGGTTGCGGTAAAAATATGGCGCGGGCGAAGCAAGAAAAAAGTTGCAACAGGCATTCTAAAGAACGTGACAGGCGCGCGCGAGCCCCGCTGCAGCCTACTTGCGACGAAGATATCGCAGACCGTGACGAATACCGCGCGCAAATTTCGTATGCCGCGAGCGAGGTCGCTCACTTTCCAGGCATTCCTTAACTGGCAGAACGGCAGTAAAGGAGAAAAGAAAAATGAGGCAGCGTGAAGACTTGCGGTCAGTTTTGGCACGACAAACTTTTCTGACGCCGTTTTCCGCACCTACAATCAACGACTATTGAAACAATGCCTTTGAACACTAGAAGCCATAAATGCAAGAAGTGATAACTTTGTCATTTTAAAGTTCACTGTGACGCTCAACTCGCCGAGGCCACAATCCAAAGGCAGCTGGTATTTAGCTTATAGCAGATGATTTGCGTGTATACATAGATATCTACCTGATGATTTATCGCACTTTTAACATTTTGTGTCCATACATGTTTAGGTTCCTTGCCTCTGGTCTTATTAAAAGCTTCTTGGTCCTTGCAGCTCTTTCAAGCTGTTCCTTGAGCTTGAGCCTCAGCTGAGGGACATCATCTTCAAGTTCTACGAGTCCAAGTATGCCACATGCCTCACACTGCTGAACGAGATCAAAGTAAGCACTGTGATGCATTCTTATTTTTTGAGTAGATTCAGAATGGAGTTAGTAGCACTTCAACTTGGGGCACTGCAAATAACGCAAGTTGAGTGTGTAGATTGCAGCTGAGGGTAGTGAGATTTATCAATCACTGCGAGGGGAGGGGGGCGTTGAGTAGTTACTGCATAGCCACACTCGAGGACTTCAAATCGTTGTTTCCTTCGCTATGTGGGCCGTGCACCAACCATGCCACTTCTGCTGTCTGTCATCGCAAAAGTTGCAACTGCCTCTTCGGTGCTGGGACCGATGGGGAGGGGGTGCAGGAGGTGTGTTCTTGGTTCGATTGTTTCGTTGACGATGCGCATGTGCGGGATTTTGTTAAGCACCAAGTGTATATATTATATATTTTCGGTTCAAGCATTTAAAGTTTTTAGTTGTTAGCTGCTTTGTAGTGTACCTTTTCTTCTCCGTGTCTTTTTTGTGCTACATTTACTCTGTAATGGATCAGCACGAACTGGCTCGTCTCTCCGTTTTGACAGTAAAAAAAATGAAACGAATGGCTGTTCACACTTTTTTTTTTCGTGGAAGCTGTATTTCGAGAGAGTGAAAGGTACATACACATGTGCCGTGTGCAAGAGGTGCTTCTTGGAATGTCACTAACCATGACAGGCGACGTCAGTCCATCACGCAACCTGGAGCGTGTAATGCTTCCTTTGCAAAGGGGTCGCGAATATAAATAGGAGTGAAAAAGGAGCCTGAACTTGTCACGTAGACGTTATGTGCTTTAGAAAATTTACCATATTTTCTCGCATAAAACCCGTATATAAGGTACATAAAAATTGAAGCGATGTCATAGTGGGGCCTATAGTACACGTATAGTGGCATGAAAGGTGCCTTCAGGCCAGTGGTTTATGGATGCGTGAGAAAACGTACCTTGTGACCATACTCAAGGGTCTTTTATAGTTTTTTCGTGGGTTGTAGAGCACTCGGGTCATTCGCAGGGGCAGGCTACACACAAGAATATACAGTAGGTGAGGTATGCCAAATGCAGGGGCTAGCTTTGGCAAGGGGGAAGTGTTGTTCTGTTAACAGTGGAACAATATTGAAAAACAATTCAGATACTTCTAATGCTTTTTGTAAAGAAGGTCAAAAAGTGGTTCTGGGAAATCATCCCCTTAAAAGTTGGCTTATAGTTCTCACTGTGTAACCGAAGTTTGCAGTAATGGCGGTTCAATGAGAGAACAGGCTAAACGTAAACTTTCTGCGGGACGTTACGGTGTGCGTCTTTTGACAATTATAAAACAATGGGGGACATGGTAATGAAAAATATCTTTGTTGTTTATAAAGATAAAGTGATGAAATCTGGCATGCAGATGCCATTTGTTATGCTGATATCGTATCTGAAATCGGTTTTGAGCTATCTAATGTAGTTTTGAGTTACGCTTGATAGACTATCATTGTCATTCTAAAATTAATTAGTTCGGTTGTCTTAACTTTTGCATAAGGATATTCACAAGTGCCCATTCTGTGCCATAGCGCTATTGATTTGTTTTTAATATTTAAATAAGTTCACAAACGAATTTTTGACACGTTCTGGGCATATTGTCTCACTAATAAGCAAAACAATTACGAAGATTAGTATGATGGGAACACAAATATGGATCATTTAGTTTACGGCACTCGCCAATGTTTCAGCATCTAAGTGCAGAGAACAGAACGGCTATATCTTCATTTGTTGCGAAATGGAACAGGGATGACTGACAGCAACTGCTCATAAAATGAAAGCTGAGAAAATGGAGCTCGAAGAAATTAGAGCTAGATTCTAGAAAGCAACTCTGAATGAAACTTGCATATTTTTTCATTAGATAAATGCAGCTTTGTGGCTATTTTGAGCTCTGATCTGTACTCTTTATGATGTTACCAATATGGTGCCACTGTGCCAAGGGAAATCTGCTGATTTGTATTCTCCAAAGGCCAATTTTCACGAAGTAAAATGCTTTTTTTTTCTCAACTTCTAGTACTTATTTGCGGCAATATTCCACCATGACGGAAAGTATGCCCTCAGCATTGCAGAAAAAATTGAGAAGTTCAACATTTTGACCAAATTTACCATTCCTATTACGACGTCCTCCGTTAAGCCGAGAAAAATGAGTAGACTTGTATCATATCACAATCAACCTCCGAGCTGACCACATGCTAAATGGCCCAACCTGAACAAGCTGCACTCCAAATGTCGATAAACTAAATGGTTTTAGAATAGAAATAATGCTAGTGTCCCTCATCTTCTTTTGCGACGTTTGTTTTTCTCTGTCTCCAGGACAATCTTCTGTTGGACGTGTACTTGGCATCTCACGTCAACACTCTGTACACCCAGATCCGCAACCGGGCACTCATTCAGGTGAGTGTTCTTGCGTAACCTCTGTGTAAAACGTTCGTGAGAAGAAAAATAGTGCGATTCAAGCTGTGGCAGTGTGAAAAAGATTAAATTTGTAGCACTGAAGTAATGTAGCACTAACTAATCTGCGTCGGTCTGTGCGGTTGTAGTTGTCGACTGTTGTCTGCATTGTTGATAGCGTCTGACAATCTGCATTTGTTACGCAATTAATGACGTGTTCTTAAGTAAGATGGTGGTCTATGCCTGGACCGACCAATTTTAGCATAATGTTGGCATACAGCTAATGCAAGCTCACCTACGTAAGCTCCGTGTGAAAAATATCACAAGAAAAATGCAGTGGAATTCTAGCTGTGGCAGTCTGAAAAAAGAATAAATATTTGTTGCACTTGACCTTCGAACTGTAATGTGAAGTTCATTTGCGTCAGCCTGCGCCGTTGTCGTTGTCAGAAGGCTGTTGTCTGCACAGTTGATTGTGTTTTGTAATCTGCATTTCTTGTGCGCTTGATGAATCTGCAGTTTCAAAAGTAAGGCTCGGACCACAACTATGTACACTAAAACCTCAATACAGTCAACCCAGTTATAAATAAATATTGGTGGTAAAACAAGGTAAATGAAGACTGTACGTTCAACAGACGTAATATGCCTTTATAATGAATCTTCGAATATGACGAACTTACTTTTGTGTAAGATGCAACTTCGGTATGATGAGATTTGGGTGTATATTAATTTAGCATCATGTTGGTTTGCAGTCAAACAGCAACTGCAGCAATATTGGCAGGATGCGAGAGAAAGTTTGTCACCGTGGAATTTAGTTGTCGCCAAGTCTCGCGTACGGGCCACAAAATTACGGAAAGCCGAACAACTCCGGCAGATATTCTTTTCCCGGCAAGTGTACGCATTAGTAAATTGCAGTCTCATTAATCTAGACTTACATGCCTGCATCCAGGTCGTTACTTGGCTGGCCCTCTAAGCTTATCGACTGCAAAACACTGTAAACATACTCTGCAAAAGTGTGATGCAAGAGTGGTGCAGGAGGCCAGGCGGCCAAAACCAAATGATGGAGTTTGATTCGCCGCAGTCGCTTGTGGAAACTCTACTAACAACTCTGCAAAAGCCTGGACCCTGCGGTATTTTCTAACCCTTAATTGTAAAATAATTGTGTCTACCACTGTGTATGACGTTTTAGTGCCACACTAAACATGGCACTGAAATAAACATTCCTGGTGTTTAGGTACGGTTACACGCGATATTTCAGAGTTATAGCCTGTTAAAAACTCTGAGCACAGCTTATTGGTTGGGTACCCACTCATAGTATGCAAGCATCTCTGAGACATGGTCACCTTGGACAGGTACTTTGTTTACCATGCAAGGCACAACTCGCCACTCAAATGAAACATTCTCTCGTGTGTGTGTTTTTGTTGCATGTAGTATTTCAGCCCGTACCTGTCGGCCGACATGACGAAGATGGCGCAGGCATTCAACACTACCGTCGGTGCGCTCGAGGAGGAGCTGATGCAGCTGATTCTCGACGGACAGATACAGGCGCGCATCGACTCTCACAACAAGGTTACTATGCATTCTCTTTCTTGTTAGATTATCAAATCTATTCTCTTTTGCAGCAAAAGCTGTTATGAGATCACAACAATGCCGGGATTGTCCCACACCCAACCCTCTGCCATCGGTGTTGGTAATTACTATCGTATTTACTCGCATAATCTTCGCACTTTTTTTGGCTGAGAACCGATGCAAAGTTGGGGGGGGGGGGGACTTTCCACGAACACGTACAGAGCGAACAAGAAAACGAAAGTGGCCGCAAATCGGGATTCTCACACCAGCAACTAACAGCAAGCTTTGAGAAGTACTAATTAAAGTTTACCTCAACAATAAAGTCAGTGGAATGCTTTGCCATTATTACTGGTTCATTGTGATTCATTAGAAGAATTTGAGGAAGGGCTCAAAGATATTTTTCTGTAAGCATGGTCTACTATGTTAATTTATTACAATTTATTTTATGCTTACTACGACTGCACTGTTTTTCCTTCAGCCTCAAAGCCGGTGTTTCCTATGTATGTCAAGTAACAATTCCAAGTGCAAGTGTTGCTGTTTGAATTGCTGTATGATTTGAATGTATTGATGTTTAACATTCTTAGTATGTCCCACCCCTGTAACAGCCGAAAGGCTAACAGTATTTGGAAAATAAATAAATAAAAGCAGAGGTTGAACACAAGGCAAGATTTATTTGAGACACAAAAAGTGCAAGCACATAGTCGAGAATTGGAATACCATACGCAAAGCTTGTGGGCATTGCGGGCATAGTGGTGGCGTTGTCACTCAACAGGAACCCTCAAAAGGTAAGCGTAGAATGTCAGTATTGTGCTGATGGCTATTTAACAGAATCGTCCACAGTTTCGTTCTGAAGGAATAAAGTTTACCATCAATCCCAGTTTTATTTACGGCAGGCCTAACGAGTCTTGGTGGCTTTCAGCTGCCGTCACTAGTAGCGAACACAAAACTCGTCGACTCCGAAAGGCCTATCGGTGGCCCTGTTGTGGTTGTTTAGTGCATGATCAATCACTTTCAACTTTAAAGCAGCCGTGTAGCTTAAGTATCGCCCCATAATGTGACAAGATTACCGACACAACATACAAAGCACGCCGCAACGCACACTTGCCGCTTTGACTTGGCTTGGATTAGATTGGATCTCCGTGCAATAATAGTACGCTTAATGCTTAAGAGATGGTGCCAGATTGCGCACACTATCATCGTCAGTGGCTGGAACGAGCAGACATTATTGTGGCAATTTTCAGGGGTGCGATAATTACCAGAGGAAAAAAAATTGTATATTTTTTGGGTGATGGGGGTGGGACGAGAATTATGCAAGTGCGAGGATTTCGCGTGTAAATAAGATATTGTGTGTAATAAAACAAATGAAATGAGAGAAAAAAAAATATGCAGAATAGAATGGGATTCTCACTCAAGCTCTCTGTGGGGCAGCCAGATATTCAGCCACAGAGCTGTGCCGATGCTTGATCTTCCTTCTCAATGAGACCATATACAGTAAAAGCTCATTAATTCAACCCTCGTTAATTTGAAAAATTGGATGACTCGGATGGTGTTTTCTGATCCTGGTCAGCATATGCATTGTTTAATGGCCTGAAGCTCTCGTTAATTCGGTCATATTTGTCTCAACTCGGTTCATTCGGACCATCCTTCGAGTGCGCTGGGCACAAAGCACTGCAAAATAGCGAACATGGGTGTTCGCAGGCAATCGAAACAAGACAGCACTGTCTGCATTGCCGTCTTCGTGAGTTGGTGACAATGGTTTTGTCCAAGTGCAGATTCGGCACTTGGCAGCTTCGTTTAACTTGGTGGTCGGGAAAAACTACTCACTGGTATTGTAGACTCCAGAGAACACGAGCCTAAAATTATACAAAGCTCATTATAACACCATGTTTCATGAAAATACTTATCTACATCTGAAAATTTGTTATAAATGTATATTTGTAACATTATAAAAAAAAAAAAAAGCATTTCTTTCTTACTTTGTTATAACCAATAATTCGTTGTATCAGTGTTCAACATATCGAGGTTTGAGTGCAGTGCAGCACGGGGCCTGAAATTTTTTTCCTTGAATGTATTATTGAACAAATACTTGCACCGGCAAAATAAAAACTTGTGTGCCCTTTCTTGCATGGCAGGTGTGTTTTCTATCTACACGTGAATATCATAAGTAATTTGCATATCACACGAAATTAAGTTTGTTATGTTCAAAAACTCATTATGCAGTCAAATCCCTTCATAAGAAACACTGATTTAGCTGACAAATAGGTGTAAAAGACACCAGTGTGCTGACAATGAAGTACGTGTTCATAAAACAATGCTAACATGGTACCCTGCTTATGAGAGACCTGATAAAGGAGACAAGACCTGCTCCCCGAAGGGTCTCTTATTATTATAATGGTAATCAACTGTAAGTTTAAAATTATAACATTGTATTGTGACAACCATATTAATCATTTATTTAGTTATAACCAATAAATAATTGCACGGAGGAGCCCTTTATACGAGACTCGCTTTGGCGAGCAGTTCTTGTCTTTTAAAGTGGGGCCTCTTATAAGCAGGGTACCATGATCTCGTTTTCTGGTCAACCCGGATTTGGATTACTAATTGTCTCTTATGGGAGTGTCCTTAGTAATGACTTCAACTTTATTGGTTTTCGTTATATTGAGCTTTGAGTGTTTTGTGATTATTCACGATTTCATACCGAGTCTTATAAGCTGCCACCATCGCTCTGCAGATTTTGTACGCTAAAGACATCGACCAGAGAAGCACCACCTTCGAACGGGCACTTGCAATGGGCAAGGACTACAAGCGCAGGACAGCTGTAAGTGCATCTCCTTTTGTACTGTGTGTTTTCTTGCAAATTGTTTAAGAAGTTAAGCGGTGCACCCAATTCTAGGCGACTGTGGTTCTAGCCTTGTTGCGATTTATGTCAGCTGCATGTGCCAACCGAAGGCCACTTGGATCCCCTAATAACCAATGACCATTCTCTTTTAGTCTCTAATGTGTTTTTTTTCTGTGATGACGCATAGATCTTGTATCATCCTGTGGGGTGATCTCGATGGCATTGGGTGCCCTTGGGATCGGATTCAGTTGCCCTTGTGATAGGAACTTGTCGTGCTTGGTAGGGCGAATGTTTCCAAGAGGCACGCTATTTAGACGGCAGAGGAAATCGGCTGCTGTTCAAAGCCCGAGCGTGGTGTGGCGACCGTCTGCAAGTGGTGGCTCGAGCGGGAGCTTCTTTCCACGCGCGAGCATAGCTGAAAAAGTTTCCACGGATGTCAGCGCAGCCGCCAATTTCGAATTGGAGCAGCCTGTTGCAGGTTTCGTCGCAGAACAGTGCAGGTGCCTTACGGTGGTCAGTGTTGAACTGATAACGTTCTAAGCGAGCGATGTTGCTCGGCAGATCGGTATTTCTTGAACAAATATTTGTGCACCATGTGGGTCTGTGCGAAATACCACATTTCAAGACATTGTTTGAAAAAGAAAAAAAAAAAGACCTTTGTATGCCTTTGCTTGCCTCGTTGTTTTAGTGGTCTTTATGCTGGATGCAGCAAAATGTCAACCCTCGCATCACTTTTGCGGTTCTAGTAATCTTTTCATCCTGGACGCAATTAAAAGTCACTTTTGCAATGCAATTGTGATCGTGTTACAATAGAATAAATGTGGGTATTATTAATAATCGCGTGAGGAGTTACTGCCATTTGGGGTGACAATGAACACTTCATTTTTTACCTGACGATTCTTCACTTTGATGACATTTTTGGTCTGCTCTGTGTTTCGATGGCTGTCATAACCATTGTTTTAGGGGCGAAGCTCCTTAGGGTGTGGGTCTGTCCATCCTTCAATGGTGAATGTAGCCACCGGTGGCACATAGCCGAGAAAGCGGTCCTTAGAATGTCTGCTGAATGGCGGCACTTGTATATGACGAATACATGATGAAAAGATGTGAGATGGCTGTACTCGAAGTGTTCATCAGATAAACGGACGGACGGACGGACAGACAGACAGAGGGGCGGACGAACGGACAGACAGACAGAGGGACTGCCGCAAGAACAGGCGCACGGACGGACGCATGGAGCGACGCATGAAAGGACGGATGCACTGACGGTCACACGGATGGATGGATGGAAGCAAGAACGAATGGGCGGACGAAAGCACGGACGTACCGACGAACGCTTCGCCCCACGAATCATCATTTACTCGGTGGATATGCTGTGATTTTTTTTGACAAACTGTTAGTCACACTTTGCTTTTAGCAGCTCTTATTATATTTACTGTGTATACTATTCTAATTGTCAACTCTCAGAATGTTACTGGACACTGCTAAACAGGTTTGTACAAGTCAACGTTTTTGAACGGAAGCAAGCCAGTAGGAAAAATTGTTTTTCCTCGAAGAGAGAGTAGGATGGGGGGGGGGGGGGGGGGGTGGTATGCTTGTTAAAGGTTTTGACTGATAGTTGGTGACAGTGCCTATTGTTCAGTAATTATAATGAATAATCATAAGAATTTGCTGAATGTAAATTCTGTAACTTTTGAAATACTACCGTATTTCTTTAAGTTTTCTATCTTTAGTTTTGAGATTAACTTTTCTAATGTTATAAAGTTTTGTACGGACAAATCCAGGAACAAGCCCAAGCCCATAGGCCCCCCGCCCCCCCACCTGCTAGCTGCGGGCCTGGACAGGTGGTCAGGTTACAGCTGTGTGCTCTGATACTTTCTTCTGTATACTTATCTAAACACATACTGTAGCGTGGGTAGACAGAAATCTACTGTACGGAACTAAACGGAACAGCTGCCTCTGGCATGATTGGTTTTGTACTTAAAATTGTGCACCCCGATTCACCTATCAGTAACTAGCACTTTTGTCAAACAGAACATATTTTCCAGATCTCTTCGGGAGTGATTCGACTAGAGTATGCTATGTATCTTGGAGTAAAAAAAAAAAAATAAACTCGGAACTGAAGGTGTTTTGCAAGGCCAGAGATGACGGGTGGCGAATGCCGGTATAATGGGACACAATACGCGTGCATTCCACAAAGCAAATCTGTGCAATTATCATTGCCTTCTCAAGTTACCCTTGTTGCAGTCTTTTTGAGGAGTAGCGTCAAACATTTTCTACAAATTTTTTTTTCTGCTGTTGTTTCAGTGTTGTCTATGTGTGCTCTATTAAATGTGCATTCTTTTTCAGGCACTGGTACTGAGGTCTGCAATGCTCAAGAATCAGATACATGTTAAGGTAAGGCCCGTATAACGACCTTCTCATAAAAGTTTTCACAAAAGATTGAATGCAATCAGCAGTTAGCTTGATATAACGAATCATTCTCTGAAAAGCGGTATGCAGCTGGGTGTAAATTAGCAGGCTTTTTTTGCCTTTTTGAAACACAGTTGCGTGCTGTGTTAAGAGCAGTAGAAGAAATGTAAAATGCCAAGCAGTTACTGCAGAAGCTTGTATGAGTATTGATAATTGTAAATGCTGAGTTATCGGCACTATGACTAGTCTTGGCGGCCTGGTCAATATATCACTGCTTTAAATGTGAATCAACAGAAAATAAATGAAATGGAAACTGAGGACACCATTTTTTGGGGGGGGACACAATGTAATAATTCAAGTCGTAAATTAACGTCTTGGGCAATTGTCCGGAATTTTTAGTAGAAGCACGTAGTCCAAATGTGCGTTATGCGTAAGGAATAGCACTGCGTACACTCCTAAAAAAGGGGGGGGTGTAAAAAAGGCATATTTCTGTAACTAAACAATTATACATTTCTCGTGGCTTTCCTTGCATTATTGCTACATGCCGAAGTACTTCAAAGTCGCAAGTGACATGTGTGTTATCAGTGAGGCATTGATTCCTTGTCAGAAAAGTAGCAAGCACAGTGTTTTCAAAAAGGGAAATGCATACAAGTGAGATGATTATTGTTGAGGGACAAGGTGGCACTTTTTCTACAACCTGTTGTTTTTTTTAGGCTGCATTTGATCGGCTGTTCAATCACAGGGACTGGGCTTAATTGAAGCTCAGTTTCGTTTTGAGAAATTTGCTGTCCTCTGTTATTTCAAGTAACTAGATGGCCACTATAATGGGCGCGACGTGTGCGACGGTGTATTGGAGGGCACAGCAAGGCCAACTGGCACACCGGTTCGCGTAGTGGGGGCGTTATGCGAACTCGGGCTTCCCAGAAGAGCACTTTTCGGGCACTTGGAAACTATTTTTTTCTGCGACGTCTTTGTACCGCACACAACTGGTCGAGGCTCATGGATATATTACAAGTGGAAGGACTGCGGGCAAGTCTTGACCCGTTGTGCATGACGAAAGTGTTGTTCATAAACGCACAGTATATGCACAATTGTCGACCGATCCCGCCTGGCAAAAATGCTTGAATATGTGCAGTGTGTGCGAGGCACACTCACTTGCACAAACGACGAGTTGGCTTCTTCGTGCCAACTCGTCTGGTATGAGCGAGCTTCATGTAGTTGCGTGCAGTTAAAAACGTTTGTTTTCAGAATGCATAAAGCGCGCCCGACTCATGACCAATCACGCGTGGCGAAAATTGTGCATTCCCGTTTAGAATTAGTACAGCACATGCGAGCATCGACCAGTTGCATGTGGCAAAATATGTTTGTGTGTAACTTACGAGGTTACAGCTCTGCTTCCTGTTGCATTTAATTTTATTAACCTGGCACTGACTGAAAAAAGAAAGTTTTTCAACCAAAGGTTCTCATGGTGGTTTTTTGCCTTTTTGGTGCCATTTCGTAACATGAACACACAGCTTGGTCATTTTTTTCTGCGTCAGTGCTTATTGCAAAGCACTTATTCTTGGTTCTCGCTTTTTTAACCATTTGCGCTCCAAAACTGTAGCCCACCTTTCATCCACTATTGTTCATAACTGAAGTGATCAAAACTCAAGTAAAAAAAAAGCTGTCTTGCTCATTTCGAGATGATGCATAGTGCGATGAGAAACTGCACACGTGGGTCAATCGTGAGAAAACTCATCGAGCAGTACCCATGCACTTACTGCTGCGGCCAGGTTGCATTTGTGGGAGCTACCTGATGACGGATTGAAAGGGTCAAGTTTACGTCCCATATGAGCTGAGGTCCTTTGTCCACCATTAAGCAGTGCCCTCTCTGTTTGCAGCTCATCAGGACGTATTCCAATACATTGTCCTATCGCTTTGGAAGGCTAGCCCGCTAATTCCTTTCTGTCACCTTTGCGGAAGGATGCAGCACACACTCGGGACTGATTCGGCAAATTCTGTAAAAACACGAAGACAGAATTGTGCCTTTTGCCACACTGCTAGCAGTCTGTTCGATTTGTTTCAAACGTCCGCAAAAATTCTGTGGTGTTGTTTTTTTTAAATTGTACATGAATCTTCAAAATGTGGTTTCCAGTTTGCATTAAACATTATTATTTAATATGTTTGGACGCTCGTTTTATTCAGCTTGATAGCTGCATGACTCAACGCACCGGTGAGATACACCCTTGGGCAGCATGAGAACTTAGTGCGGCCTTTCCTTAGAAACCAGCACTGCAGCTGTGGTCGTCTGTCTAAGCTCCTTTTTGTACTGTTTTTTCAAGAGACTAACGTTTAAATGAGGGGGAAGAATGCGAATTTTCGTTAGGATTTGTGATAGCAAAAGTAAGAAAACTGGAAAGCAGAGGAGACACTATTCATACGTCTTAATGATGAGTACCGTATAAACGCGTGTAAGGGCCGCACTTTTTTTTCAGGAAGTGAGGGCTAATTTTCAGGTTGTGGCCCATACACGGAACTTTTTTTGTGGTGAACTAAAAACAACGTACCAGTTAGTGAACAAAGAGCGTTTATTGCAGTATGCCGCGTGTGCGCTTAATCGTCGTCACTCGACGAGTCCTCTAACTCGGAGTCGGAGATAGTGTGTTGCGGAGCACCATCATTCCACAAACAGTCATCTTCGGTGCCATCCAGGCTGTTGGATATCCCAGTGACCTTAAAACTTCGGGACACAATGTCCGTCGACACCGAGCTCCACGCCGACAATATCCAACCGAGAACAGTAGCAAGCGGTGCCCTCTTCAGCCGTCCGGTCGGCGTGTGCTCATGGTTGCCGGTTGCCATCCATTCCGTGTAGAGTCTTCGGAATTCAACTTTGAATGGTCGATTCACGCTCACATCCAATGGTTGCAACATTCCTGTGAGGCCGCCTGGAATCACGGCCATGTCTGTGCCGACACGGCGCAGCTGCTTCTTCACCTTATCGGTAAGGTGGCCGCGGAAACTATCCAATACTAAAAGTGAATGTTTGGCCAACAAAGCTCCCGGTCTGTTCTGCCAAGTGCTTTTCACCCAGTCTAGCACCAAATCATCGTTCATCCATCCCTTCTCTTGGGCTCTAACTATGATGCCCTTGGGGAAAACTTCATTGGGAATTCTTTTCCTTTTCAAAACAACGTACGGGGGTAGCTTCCGCCCGTCCGCGGTCACACAAAGCATCACGGTGCAGCGTTGGTGCTCAGCGCCGGTGGTCCGCACGGCGACACTCTTCTTGCCTTTTACTTCGACTGTGTAGTTCTCGGGAGAGTCAAACCACACAGGAGTTTGATCAGCGTTCGCTATTTGCGACAACAAATAACTGTGCTGATGGCGCAGGCCGATGACATGCTTGTGAAAACTAAGCACCTTGTCGGTATAGTCTTCTGGCAGCCGCTGGCACAGCGTGGTCCTTCGCCGAAAAGAGAGTCCCTTTCTTTTCATAAACCTTCCCACCCAGCCAGCACTAGCCTTGAAATCCCCGGCCGGTATATTTTTCGCACGTGCCAAGGCTAGTGCCTTCATGCGCAGCATGTCTGTAGTGAGCGCAAAATCATCGTTCCGCACCTCAGTCACATAGCGGAGCAACTCCTCTTCCAAATCGGGATACTTGCACTGTTTTCCTCGGAAAGCGCGCTTTTTGATATTGGTGTTCTGCAAGGCTTTCTTCTGGGCGCACCAACGTCGAACACACTTCTCGTCAACGTCGAATTTTCTGCCGACGGCCCGTTTCCCGTGCTCGAGGGCAAACTCGATCACCTTCAACTTATAGCCAGCTGTATAGCTATTCAGCTGCTTGCCCATCGTGCGAAAACGTAAACGTCCCGCAGAAAACTAGCTGGAGTCCCAGAGTCAATCAACGGTGTGCAAAACTCGAGCACATGGCAGGCTGAACAGCACAATGACCAAACAACGCACAAATACCAAAGTTGGTGATGCTAATGCCGATATGGATAGTGCGTTTGTATAGAAGTGTCAGAAGTTAAATATAAAATCCTGCTTTAACCTTTAGTTGGCGGGTGTATGAACACTACTGAAAAAATTAAAAATTTTTAGCCAACTTCATGAACATATTAGCATGAAGAAAACCAACAAATTATTCTAATGATGTACTATATGGTGATGATGAGAATTGCGTTCCCTAACGCCATCTACTGACAACGCCTAGTAGCTCACACACGCGCGCGCATTTTGAATACGCATGGGTCAAGGAAAGTGCGGATGCGGCCCTTACACACAACTTTTTTTTTTTTTGAATATGTGCTTCTTAAAAACGGGATGCGGCCCTTACACGGGTGCGGCCCTTACGTGCGTGTATGCGGTAGTAAATATGAAATGGAGAGAAATACCAGAGGATTTAGAAGAAAAGTTGCCGTTTTCTAACACGTGCATGTTCTCCCTCCAAAATGCAAAGTGCTGATAATTATAGCGAGCCATCTAGCGGCGATTAAAGAAAAGTTTGTTGTTTCATGTGGACGTCAGTGAACACCATTCATGTTGAAGTAGCAAGCAACATTAGAACATGGAAAGAATAACTAAACGTGGTGGTTGCTGCTTGTCTTAGTCCTAGTCTTGTGTACGGCTTCAAATGCATGGATCAATCGCCAACTCGCACAGTTGTCCACTTCTTTGAATCATTGAGCACTGCGTCTATTCACGAGGTCTGACACGAATCGCTCAATCACTGTAAACACGGGCTTGGGAAACGATGCTCACGAGATGAGCAGGCAGGCAGGCAAGGAACTTTATTAATATCCGGAAGTGGCGCTCAATCCCCCCTCAGGGGCTGACACCGGTGGGCCACTCCCACGACAGGACAGGGAGATTAAACTGCATGGGCCCTTTGGATAACCCTAAGCTCGTGTCCTTTGTCGTGGCTTGTGAGGAGACAGGTCCAATCCGCCTCCGTAGAGGGAGACTCGCTGCTCTCGCGCAACGTAGGGCATTGCCAC